CCGGAAACTTATCTAACTGACTAAATACCACAAGACTTACCTTAAGTAAATAAAATCCTTTTTTAGGAAGGGGAGAATTGACACTGCCTGCCGTTAAGCTTTTAAGCCACAGACAGGTAGGTTATTAGGGGTCCTATATTTATATAAAAACTCAATTAAACTTTTTTACACCTGTAAAACTTTACTTCATCATACTTGTGACAATAGTCTCTATTGCCATATCTGTTTCCCTGTCAATATTCTTTACGTTGTCTTATTACAGCCTGACTAATCAAACTTTCACATTTTTGAAAAGTATGCATGTTCTCAGTACTGAAATCGGAAAATAAAATTGGTGATCCACATAATGGCTTACTACAAAGTCAAAGTCATATCACTTATTCTGCCACATACAACGAGCATATTTGCTCAAATAATTTGCGGAATAAATGATACCCCCTATTGAGACTGTTTGTACAGAACTTGGTATATGACTACTATTAGCGAAATTGTTTCATAACTCTTCGAATTTTTTTGTAATGGCGTCTTTATTGCTTCGACTTAAGGTGTATTTCAATTATTTATTATGGTAACATATTTCTCTTTGTTTCAGTTACCGCCACTCTACCACCTCAGAGACCTTGGATACCCTTAACGAGACCGAATAGGAGTCGTCCTACTTGTAAGTACATCAGGTCATCCTTCAATATGTGTGCCATTGCCTTTTCATTTATAGTAAGTTGAAATGTATGACGAGCTTATAAGGTATTATTGTTGATGCGAAAATGTATAATTTTAAATTACATGTTGAAAGCCATCGCAAATTAAGAAAATTAAGTATTGGTTAGTAAAACAACACCAGTTTGGAGGTTCAGGTTTTGATTATTTTTATAGATTAGAACTCTATAAAAGTGTTTTTATTATGAATATATAAATTATTAGTATAGAGTATGGATTATGGATACAGCCAGCATTGGAATACTTGGCGTTGACATATCGAACGACGTTCAGTTTCGCGGTCACTTGGAGGGAAAGGCTAAATTAGCCTCCAAAAAGCTTGGTGTGCTCAGCAAGGCGAGACGGTACTTCACTCCGGGTCACCGCATGCAACTATATAAAGCGCAAATTCGGCCCCACATGGAGTACTGCTCTCACCTCTGGGCGGGGGCTCCCCAGTACCAGCTCCTTCCACTTGACCGTATTCAACGCAGAGCGGTTCGAATCGTCGACGACAAATCCCTCTCCGAGCGGCTTGATCCTTTGGCGTTGCGTAGAGATGTGGGGTCACTCTGCATCTTCTACCGCATTTACCATGGAGAGTGTTCGGAGGAGTTGTTCGGATTAATACCTGCAGCCGAGTTCCGTCATCGGACGTCGAGGCAGAGTACGAAATTCCACCCGTATCACCTCGACGACCGCCGTTCCACAACTGAGCGTTTTTCAAGGCTGTTTATGCCGCGCACCACCACTTTGTGGAACCAGCTGCCCACTGAAGTATTTCCGAACCAATTCGACTTAGGGTCCTTCAAGAAAAGAGCGTACCAATTCTTAAAAGCCGGCAACGCACTCGCGAGCCCTCTGGCATTGAGAGTGTCCATGGGCGGCGGTATCACTTAACATCAGGTGAGCCTCCTGCCCGTTTACCCCTGTTCTATAAAAATAAAAAAAATCCAGGGTTAAGATTTTAAAGTTGTAATAAACTTCAGAAAGCTATGTTCCTCCAGGGTCTATAGAGTATTCATACTTTCTTACACTGAGAGACACTTGATTCCCTTGATAAACTTTATTCATAACATATCTTAACAGCTACTTATTCTAGCAACTTATTACTTTTAGATAGATTAGATTATCCGTCTTGGATATGCGTAGTAATAGGCGACTGTTGAATGTGCATGTAGAAACATTAGTGTACATCCGGGGATCGACCCTACGACCTCATGTTGTCATACGCTGAAAACACTTGGCTATTACTGCTCTATATATAGCTATGATCCAAATCAATGATGTATCCAAAATGGATTAAGAATCCGAGCGCCGACGTGGTCACGGTCAGTCGTGCTATTTTAAAATTAATACCTTTTTATTTTATATCGGCGAATCGAACTCACGGTCGGTTGACATTAAGGAAATGCCCTTCGAATGCACAAACAATGCACAATGCCAGGCATTGGCATCGGCCTCTGCGCATCCGTGAACCCAAGACAAAAGCTTGTTTTGCGTTATCTAATTTATTTAACTTTAATTATGTAAACTGACTTAAGAAGGATCTAGTGTTTTGATTTTCTATAGAAAAGTGATTTACTTGAATAAATTATTTTTATTATTATGGTAATAATGAAAACCTTGCCCTTTCGACAATAATAAAAAAATATTGATTTATTCAGTACTTTTCTAAAACGACATATTTACGATAAAACTGCTGAACATTATTTGTACGTTTATATGTATCTACAAGGTTAATCTGTATTTGGTTAATTACTTTATAGTTACTGCGCCTGCGACTTTCTATCAGAATCCAGAGATAAGCTTAGATTTTTTGAGTTGATGAAAACTATTGGATCTATTAATTATATTACACGCAGATGCTTTAATAACTCGTTATTAATGATATGCCCAAAATATTTGAATAAATGGTTTTTAGAATTAAAACTAACATACAGTAACACCACTAACAAATTAGATCAATACGAAACAATAGATACAAAAACATACAGGCGATTCCTTTATAGTATATGTAGAGTAAATAAATAAATAAATAGAGGAATGGTTTTGATAATCTTTTCGATATTTTTCTAGACATTTCCTCGTTCACGGTTATCGAAATTATAACTTTGTGTTTTGCATAAAATCTTAAATGGCATTGTATTTTGCCAGAACCGGATTTCCCCAGACGTCAAAAGGTTTTCATAAAACTGTAGTCGATTGATATAAATATAGATAATCATAGTATATATACGTAGAATAGTCGACAAGAGTAGACCCAATATTATAGAGAACACATGGTCGCTCTCATACAACTTTAGCCGTGTGGCGTCCGACATACCGCATTGAAATTACCGTAGCTATTATGCAAATTACAGTGCCATTGCAGTTCTACAATTGTTTCATGCCTGTCGCTTCGACCTTCCAATATCATTGCTTTTTGTATGTTATTAAAACAAAAAGTATTGTAAATCTTAGATTATACCGATAACAATGTTTTAATTGTAACACCTTTCTAATTATAACACAACAGACTTATGTGTGTAATTTAACAAAGAAAAGTGCGGGATAACAGCGATGATATATCGTTTTTTTTTACATTAATGTATGTATATGGTAATTGGGATATATTTTTTTGTAAAATTCAGTTATTAATATGTAACTGAATACATTTGAATGTATGCTTAAAACTCCGTACAGAATAGAATAGAATTTAAAACAGTATTTTTTAAATAGATTTTCTATGATTTACAAAACATCCTATGTGTCAAATTGACGTATATTGCTAAGATTCAGGACCTGTCAAACCTACTTTTCTCTAGGATTATTTTGACATATTTGTCTGTGCTTAAGACAAGATAACTGCTGTTTTTTAAATAGCAGCGCCTCAGTAAATCATTCACGGGCACCAGCTACTGTTTCTATAAAATTGGTGTTTTTTAACGGTCACGAATTGTATTGATATCATCTTGCACCGGAACATGACTAAGCCAACAGTTATTGTTTAATAAATACGTCAATTTATCGCGTATTTATTTACGGTCCAGAGACCTGATTCTAGCAAATTCGCATTCGCACGAGACAATCAAGCGGTAGCGGTTAAAATAAATGCATAAGACAAATAAAGTTGAAAAAATATTGTGCTTACTTTTTTCAACTGACTGCTTAGTTTCATAAACGGTGTGATTCTTTATAGGCAAGTCAGCTTCTGTTTTATCAACCTGTGTGAACCACACAAAAACCTCCTTATTACGGCATTACCACGCAAGCTACGGCTTTATCTATTTCACATTTGCTATGTATAAAGCGAGCGTTACTGTGATTAAAAAAATTAGGGGCGCTACCTCCTTAAGGTCTTTCTTGGCCTTAGATGTCTGAATCTGTTTTATGGTCATTTTTAAATCTAATAGGCAAGTAGGTGATCAGCCTCCAGTGCCTGACACACGCCGTCGACTTTTTGGGTCTAAGACATGTCGGTTTCCTCACGATGGAAAGAAAGGAAATCCTTCACCGTTCGAGCAAATGTTAAATGCGCACATAGAAAGAAAGTCCATTGGTGCACAGCCGGAGATCAAACCTACGACCTCAGGTATGAGAGTCGCACGCTGAAGCCACTAGGCCAACACTGTGATTACAAAAATTATATGAATCAACTATGGTTCCAAGCATGCTTAGTTTTTGCGGTATATTATCGTGTCACCTTTTACCATTGTCTCATCGTGCACGTATTATTTCGTCATTGATTTATTTTGAAGGCACGCGTCTACATAACATTACCATTTATTATGTCAAAGCTTTCGACGTGACTCGTGTTACCCGGAGCGAGAAACGTTTCCGAAAAATGATCTTGGTTTAACAAATGAATAAAAATGAATTTATCGAACTAGCTGTTTTAGACCCGTTAATTTGGTCGTAGATTGATAAGTAGTCATCCTCGATAAATATATTATACTACAATATACATAGTTTAGATACTAATTAGAAGTACTGTATATGTAAATACCTTAAATATAGATTGGTTTATAATTTGTACGTTAAAATATGACTTCTTTTATTTCGAATCGATCAAGTGAGTGTCACTAAAAACCAGGTTCGACTCAAACATATTGACAACACTATAAATATGTTGTATAGACAAAGTCACTATTAACAGACGCCTTTTTGGATATGTTTCTTTCAAATCGACTTATACTTCCTTATTCGATGGTGTATTGTTTTGTCGTTGGCATGTGCGCCACGTCTCGCGCATTGGGCATACAATGGTCGTGTAAAGCACGTGCTGCGGTTTGTATTGATCAGGTGAAGCTTTGCTGATTAGCATGGCTAGTGTCGTAAGCACTGTTGGTAGATCCGGAGTGACGTACTGCAATTGTAAGCTGAATTGCCTACGTCTAGGCGCTAAATCTATACATATATTAGTAGTAGTAGTAGCTGCCCCCGCGAACTTTCTCCTTAATGTGATTTTACTTAGCCTACCTTTTTAGTACATACCAACATGGAATATTTTGCTAAGCTACCCCAGACTGGGGTTTTCTGGTATGAAAACTTTTTATACATTAGATATAGTAGAGTCGTTAGACACAATTATCCTTCTAGACGAGATGAATGCTCTCGCATACAATTAATATTCTTTCAACTAAAACATAAAACGAAAAACACCTGAACATATTAGGTCGCTACTATGAAGTCGCTCCGTGAAAACATCGACTGTGTTGAAGTAGTAGGCGCAATATTTTTTCTAATGCAAAAATTATGAATTCTATATAAAATTCTTATACATCAGAATTAGAATCACTTTAAATTTGGGTTAATTTTTACCATTGTGTTACCTTTTCTAGTCATGAATTAGAATCATGCGTGATCTTCCACGATGTTGATATTTGCGTGAAGGGCCAGAGATAACAAATCGAACCTTTTGATTCCGATGTGATGAATGCCGCAAAAGTGCAATTTTCAGAACGTGAGAGATCACAGTCGTGGATTTGGTTGCATAAATTAGAGATAATTTAAAACTGTAGATATAATAATGTAAACATTTTGATAGATTTAGTATTTCTCATGGAATATATTACGTTTTATGATGGCTTTAGAAGTAAAGTATGTTTGTCTTCCGCAGAGTTTCGACAAGTTCGGCGTTTATTTTACTGGTTTATTTTAGCATACAATACGAAATGTCATTGCCGGCTATTACCCTCCTTACCGTAAACTATATTACGCTTCATCAATAACGTTTACTCTGAAAAAAGTCCTTAGTCTTTTTGTACATAACAAACAGGCATCTGATGTTAAGTGATACCACCGCCCTTGGAAACTCACATTGCTACAAGGCTGGCAAGTGCGTTGCCGGCCTTTTAAGAATTGGTACGCCCTTTTCTTGAAGACCTTAAGTCGAATTGGTTCGACTAATTAATGTATTATGTATATATTCCCTTTTCAGAAGGTAGAGTTTCTGTTATAACATCTATTTTTAAGGGGTATATAGTATCGTAACTATAAAAGCAATTTGAACGGGTCGGTTTCCTCGATGACTCTATTTGCCTATAGACAAGCACCTATTCGCACCCGAGACCATTTAGCTTATCTACTCGTCAGCACCGCACGAACATCCCCCGGCTATAGCCGTTTACGGAATACATCATTTCCTGTATTTTCGAAGAAATTATGTGATAATGTTATATTATCTCGTTTGATGCGGCACTTTTGAAATGAAATTGTTACAGATGAAAGCTGTGATATTCTAATTTGCTTTTAACTGTAAAATGCTAATGCTATAACTCTGGTATCTGTATCTCTTGCTCTTACATAAATTAATGTATGTAGAGATAGATAGAGAGATATAATATTTAGTGTGATCGTAGAATTGATCACTTTATAAATTCAACACCTTTTTATGATATAACCTATTATTTTAATTAAAAAACTTATCTAGACTTACCCGATATAGTAACATATTTTCAACTAATAGACAATACATAATTTTCCAGGTATATTCACGGTGATGTGCTACAACGTGCTGTGTGACAAATATGCGACGAGACAGATGTACGGGTACTGCCCAAGTTGGGCGCTGGAGTGGGACTATCGGAAAAAGGGCATATTGGACGAAATACGACATTATTCTGCGGATATCATAAGCTTACAGGCAAGTAACAAAATAAAATTATAGGATAAAGTATCACTGTTATCTAGTAATGTACTTAAGCTGATAATAGCTTAGCACAACAAAGCAAGCATATTGTCCAGATATAAGATATATCATTCTACATTTCCACTATATTCATAAAATATAAATAGGCAATTAAATGGTTTGCCAAGCCAATTACTTATTGTTGTGCTCTGGAAGGTACCCAAGCTAATGAAGTATTAACTAGGTGTGAATGGGTCAACCAATTTTACTGTTATACATTTTTAAAGTTATACTACTTTTGGCGCGTCAGGGAAAAATTATGAGAGTAAATTTTTACGATGAGCGCGTACACCGTCACAAAAAATCCGACACCCTGAATATCTGTTTAAACGTCGGAAAAACAGTCTGGGCCGCTAGTTGGAGCTTGCTCTGTTTTATCGACAAGTTGCATTGTCTGTCATGGCGTAGTGTGTTTCAGAGTCGTGTTTATTTAAACCAAAATAATGATTTCTATACGAGAAAACCTGTTTCAATGTGATTAAAAACATAGTGTTTATTGTAAAATATCATGATTAGTACATATTATATCGTTTAGATTGGAAGTGACCATTAAAATGGACAAGAAAAATGCAATTCGAAGAGGGAAACGTCCCTCTAAACCTAAAGTTATAATAATAATAAGCCTTTTTATTTCCTGTTTTACAATACTTGGTAGTTGCTATATTACAGCCCTCTAAAGTGCTCGAAGAAAATTATGACGCCAAAAAAGTAACGCGTGTACATAAGTACACACCCGTGTTTTTAATTTAAAAGGCAGATGGTACAATCTAAAATAATAAAGAATAGCTAAAACGCTTTATTTCTAGGTATTGTATAGATTTTTAACAATAAGTCGACCCTACTTAATACCAACATTTATATTACAGTAGCGCATACAATGAACAAAGGTCCATTTATATGCCGTTATTCGCATGTATAAAGTAGGCTTTATTAGCCAAATCAATTTATATAACATGACGATCAGTATTCACAAATAGTTATTTTCTTCCGCACAACATTGAGAGGTCGTTGCGCCGGCAATTGTTAGCTATTATATAATACGTCAATGTCAGGGTTGTAAACACCATATAGTGGTAGCAGCGTAGATTTTAATACATTTTGTTACTGAAAATTATTTAAATGGTGTCTGTCTTGTCCTGTAGGAAATAAACGTTTGTTTAACGTTTAAGTTCTTTGTTATTGGCCTCAAATATTTGCATTATAAAAAACCTAATCGACACATCGTGAAACACGTGATACACCTGGAGAAACACAAATATAAATAATCTAATATTTTTCGTTTGCCTTGATAAGGTTTTTAACTAGATACTTACGTTTGTAAATCGTTACTCAAATCTTGTCTCAAAATCAGTTTCTCTATTGACATCGACATTGATAGCGATTAAGACACCATTTTGATTTGAGATTTTAATTCACCAAATAAAGTTTTTCTTATATCAAAATTTATTTGTGTAAAAATATTTCAGGAGGTGGAAACGGATCAGTTCTACAATTTCTTTTTACCGGAGTTGAAACAAGACGGCTACGATGGCATTTTCTCGCCAAAGTCTCGCGCCAAAACTATGGCGGAGTCTGAGAGGAAATACGTCGATGGATGCGCTATATTCTTCAGATCTGCTAAGTATGCACAACTACAATGAAATGCCTGACAGGAAAGGCGGTCCGATATTTCAACATTTTCATTTTGTTCCACTGATTTGTTTTTTTACATTAAATACACATACATAACAAAAGGTATATAGTTTAAAGAACTAAACAAAAAAATAAAATAAAATATCTAATATATAAAATTCTCGTGTCGCGGTGTTTGTAGTTAAACTCCTCCGAAACGGCTTTACCGATTCTCATGAAATTTTGTGTGCATATTGGGTATATATATAATCGGACAACATGTTAAGAGTAGTCCACCCCGAAATTATTATTTTTTTAATTTTTAGATACAGCATTAAAAAATACATACAACCCCTCTACGATCAACCCCTATTTTATATTTTAAATGATATATATGGCAAAACGACGTTTTCCGGATCACATAGTATAATATATGGTATAAACTTCACTCACACTCCACAAATACATAAACTGCCAAAAGAAAACTTCCTCATTTATATTCAAGACATCTGTCTTTTCATGTCGATTTCATCGCTTTGTTGTTTAATATTAATGTTTTTTTCTCAGGTTTTCATTGGTAAAGGAGCACTTAATCGAATTCAACCAGCTGGCTATGGCGAATAGCGAAGGCTCAGATAACATGTTGAATCGAGTTATGCCGAAAGACAATATCGGTCTGGCTGCCTTGTTGAAGACCAAAGAGGCAGCGTGGGAGAATGGTGAGAATTGTAATTATTTTTTTATATCCCTTTTATTAGATGTAAGTAGAATAAGTTTTAATAATATACCGGGTATAATTATTATTTGGAGTCAAATAAATCAAATTTAAATAAGTATGAATTGAATTAATAGTTTTACATTTGCTAAACATATAACGAATATTAGAAATGATATTCAGTAGCGTTGAGGGGAATATATGTTCCCAACAGTTTCTGAAGCGGTCTTTGTATACCCGGTATATTAGACACCACACAAGTAACACACACTAATACAGACATTCTACACAATGCCTCTACTTGGCTGAAATAAAACTAACGGCTCATTAATTGCCGGATTTCAATGTCTAAAAAGGCAGTCGCATTAAATATGGGTCGAAGATTTTTGGTAAAGATTTCACTCTGTTAAATGCGCTTTTTATACAAAATAGTTTTGGTTTGGACTGAGTATTAATTGGTATACAAACATTTAAATATGTAACAAGTGTTGTACTGTTTCTCCCGAAATTTCGGGTCAAATAAAATATGTATTTGAAAAGCAATAGAATCAAATTTTGTCCTTTGTCCAGTACAATCCAATTTGAAGATCCAAAGTTTGGTTCGCGGGGAAACAAATGTTTTGGTATGAAAGGCATATGGACTATAAAACCCCGCATTGAGCTGGTAAAGGACATGGCACAAGTTGGAGGTCGTGGGTTCAGTTTCTAGTGCCACAGAAATTGTCTCATTTTGGAAGGCACGAAAGACTTAATTGGAAGCGCCGCGTTACATTACACACACCCACTAATTTTGACTTACAGATTTTTTTTTTCAATATACAAAGCATGTGACACTCTAGGTCTACCAACGGAGACATCGGCGCTTTCGCAACCAATCCTAGTATGCACGGCTCACATTCATTGGGACCCTGAGTTTTGCGATGTGAAGTTGATACAAACAATGATGCTGAGCAATGAACTGAGATCGATTTTGGATGATTCTGCGCGTACGCTGCGATTGACCGGACAGAAGGACAATGTTCAACTGTTGTTGTGTGGAGATTTTAATTCGCTGCCTGATAGTGGTAAGTATATGTAAGCTGTGCCCGTGGTTTAACTTTCCTTATAATTTATAGGCGCCGTAATATTATATGGCCTAACTTGTTAAATCAATTATCAAAAAAAAACTACAATCGGTCTTATATATTACACGGATATTGTAAGTGAAGTAATTCGTCTCTTTCTTTCAAATTGTATTTCAAAACAGTGTAATTAGATTAGATATATAGATATCAGAGTGTTAGGGAATCAAACTATTTTGGTTTGGTTTTTTGTTGTTTTTGCTAAAAGTTCTACAGCAAAAGTATGTAAAACACCAAAACATAGGCCCATTGACCTAAACTACAGAAAATATAACGCAATATTCACCATTCGAAATGGATTGTATAGCTCTACAGAAAAAGTGTGTTAAACACCAAAACATAGGCCTCTAGATAGTTAGACTTCAGAAAATGTAATCTAATATTCCCTATTCGAAATTTTAATCAATACGGCTTAAGCAGTAAATAAATTTTCCAATTCCAGGTGTAGTCGAGTTCCTCTCGGCAGGGCGTGTATCCGCCGATCACCGCGACTTCAAAGCGTTAGCCTACGCGAATTATCTCCGCCGAATGCCGGGTTCAGATCACGAGTTCACGCACAACTTCAAACTCGCTTCCGCCTACAGCGAGGACATCATGCCCTACACTAATTACACGTGAGTGACAGAATTTTTTTTTACTCGTATTATAGTATTAAAGTCTAGGAGAGGACCGTGTCAAAGGCTCTAGCTTAAAACCTTAACTTGTATACTTGCATTTATTTCTTAAAACAGAAACAGTTTCTTAAACAGTGTAGACAGAAATAGAGACCTATCGTATATTTTAATGACGCTCGTAAACGATTCTATAATGATATACGTGTGTGATGACGTATGCTTAAACACAGAATATAAAAACGTATGTTCTGTTTATATCACCAAGGAGTTTTCATAGGTTGTTATCTTTTGCAAGGAGGCGCGTAAACTCTTCAGTTGAAGTAGTTGTCTATACCCCATGATATATTCCTATATTTTCACATTGTTTTTAGCTTCAATTTAATTTTTTAAACATAGATAAAGGAGCGTTTGGTACTGTTAATACCACATACACGCTCGTTTAAAACACAGTCATGGTTTAATAATATTCATTACACATCAGTTTCATAAGCTATATCAAAAAACATTTTAAATAAATTCCCGCTTAAGTAGATTTCGTAATGCTGTATAGAAATATCATAATCTATATGTTTGACCTAAATTTGTGGAGGGTCAAACCCTTGAATAACATTCTAAACTAAACAATAAATTTTTTAAATGTATTTATTTAATGTTCTTCCCTTTCTTCAAGGATAATCCATCTTAAGGCTTACATCAATCAAACATTTTTACATACAAAATGCAATTAATTTGGCCTAGAATACATATCCCTCACTTCCATTTCAGTATATCTCTTATTCTTATGAATTGGTATAAGATTTAGCAAAATGATCAATATTAAAATGGTTCCGATGTTAAGTGCTAATAATATAAATTGCAGGTACGACTTCAAAGGCATCATCGACTATATCTTCTACAGCAAACAGTCGATGACCCCTCTGGGTCTTCTGGGGCCTCTGTCGCAGGACTGGTTCCGCGAACACAAGGTCGTAGGCTGTCCGCATCCGCACATACCCTCAGGTAATTTGTAATATCTGTAACATTTGCATCTGTGTGTAAACAATATGTTTCACGAGGTCCCTTTTTAATTTGTGCAGTATTTGGTATTTAAGAGAGTGACAAGTTTATCATCGGAAAACGCCGATACGGCAAATTAATTCAAAGGTATTTTTAAGAAAAGTTAATGTTAATAACGGATTAATGAAAATCAGGAAGCGAATGAAGAACGAAAGCTATGGATACAGATATTTGGAGAAAGCTGAAGGAGGCGTTTACCGGTGAAGGGGGGATATCGAGTAACAAGATAAACAATGTATATAACAAAACCAAACTGTATATTCAGCATTTTTAAAGATTGGAAATAAACAGGCTTTATTATTATTATTATTGAAAATCTGGAAAACAAAAAGTGTATTTTACACTGTAACGGGCGTTTTTGTAACTAAACAGAAGCATATCGCCATCTTTCACTTATGAAAATTGAATGCAAATAATACGTAATCTACAATTTTCTATTTTTAATGGTACAACTTGAGTATATTATATATAAAATATTTTACATTTTGTTCAGATACAAAATATTTTTCTACGGAAGAGTTTCACAACATAGCTATATCCCTAATGTGGGAACCAGCGTCTGTATGATATAATAGTGTCATTTAAAAATAGATGTCGCTTCGAAAAAATGTATTATTATACAAATTAATCCATATTTTAAAAACTGATTTTTTTGTTTTCAGATCATTTCCCTCTACTAGTAGAACTGGAGATGTGTCCAACGACGAGTACCAACTCGAACGGACTAATTGGACGCAGGTAGCACGCAATGCGCCGACATGCGGCCGCACATGGCGCCAATGCCATCCACAGGAATCCTACCCTCTACTTCAAAAATCAAAACCAAAAGCTGGACAAAAATCCAGCACAGCCACCGACCCACAACCAGAAAGATTCAGCTAAAAATCGTAAACTGGATGACCAACATTCAGTTTTTCACCAACCGATCGACAAGAATGGAGTTGGGAATGATAACCTACCAAGCCGCAAGGACACAGTAGCCTACCAGAAGAAGTCTTTCCACAACCAGAAGAGTCCAAGAAACCAAACTGAAAATCATCAGCTTCCAAAAAATCTAGTTGACCATAATAAATGTGAACACCCTCAATCGGTAATCCAAGAAAGAAAGCGACATAATGTGAACAGATAAAACTTAGCAATTTAGGTATATGGAAAATCAAAATCGACATCTAGAACTTGACAGTTCGTCACATTTGCGTAAAGCGGTCTATAGAGATCTTGGACATCAACGCAGAAATCACAGTTCTGAAAAGTGTCCAAATTACCCAAGTTAGAAAATGTATTGCAAAACAATTAACTTTAGTCTAATCAATTTTAGATAAATTTTGACTTAGCCGCTTCATTCAGCTAGGGTGACGAATTTTTCACAATATTTAGAATTCAAATCATTTTTGTAAAACACTTATAGCGAACAAAATATATATTTCTTTATGTATAGTACTTATTAAGTAGAAATTTTTGATATTGGTTTGTAGATGTGCAGATTTCATCGGTTTGTGTGCAATGTCTTTTAAGTTTTCAAAATCATAAGTTGTATATTACAAAAAAAGAATATGTAAAAATCGTTTTGAAGTACTTAATATTACTAAATTCATTTTGCTATACTACCTCCGGAATTATATAAAATACATAGTACATTTCGTAGAGCGTCGATTAGGTATGTGTAAAATTTTAATTAATTAAATACTCAAATTTATATTTTTCTTCGCAAAACAAAAGTTTTTAAAAGATTCTTCCAACATCCTTGGCGATTTTCTTCCGCCTCTCTCAGTGAAGTATATGAAAATCCATATTTAGCTTCTGTGCAATTATAGTTTCCAATCAGAAAAAAATAGTTTGTTTAAATCAGCTTCGTATTAATGAAATTTTTAGCTTTATTTCTTCTGCAAAACAAATGTTTATATGTTCTAATTTCAGTTACCATGGCAGCTATGAAGTTCAGTTGCCATAGTAACTAGACGGTTCCAGTTGCCATGGTAACCAACATGGCGATTTATACCCGCCTCTTTAATGCTCAGTAAAGTACATTGATGGAAAATCGATATTTAGCTTTAAGACTATTGTCTGTGCAATTATAGTTTTCAATTAGAAAAAAAAAATATTTTGGCAGAATCAGCTTCTTGTTAATGAAACTTTTAGCTATAATTTTAATTGTCGTGAATGTAGTTCCACCTACAGTTGAGGAATATAACGATGTTACAAATATTTCCGTGACAGGTCTGTTTATCTCGGATTTTGAAAATATCAGACGTCCATTTACCAATTAGTGATAAAATGATTCCTCCACTGTAAATTGATAGAATAATGTGAATATGTTTAGTTCTAGATGGTGTTCGAGGAGACATTGGAACAATATATTTTATTTTTCACAATTTTGAATTAGTTTTTCACGGTATAACAAAGATCCCGGTACTTTTATAACTTCCATTTAATATATTTTTTATTCAACCCTAATGGCAACTTTATAACCATAGAAATAATTGTTTAAGAGGACAAATTACCGAGTTAAATCATTGAACTTCGGCCTAAGTAATTTTTTTTAGTTTTAAAGCGGGGTTTAGTTGCCGCATTTAACAAGTTCATTGTATGGTGCAATCAAACCATTTCTTTATAATGAATGTGTTTAGTCCACAATGTCTCCCCGATAGGTGTGTGTAAATGTCGGTAGTGCAGTGGACGGTGAGCTATGGTTAATTGAGGTACAGAGGTTAACTGATATGGTTAAGGTTAACTGTGGTACGGTGTTGGCATTTAGAACAAAGACGAGCGAATGCTCGCCGGCGGCGAAACTTAGGTTAATGTCGCATATTGTGTACCAACAAACTACTCAGCGAGACTTAAAAAAGACCTTTATTACCCCTCCTTTTTATCCCCCTCCGCTCTCCTCAAACCCCTTTTCCTAGTATTTTTATAATCTCTTGTAAGTGGAGTTTTGTATTGTCTCGTTTCTTTACAATTAAACCGCTCGCTGCCGCTCATTCCCCTTTTAGCTCTAAGTAGGTTATATATTGTGACGATTGGAATCCCATGAGTAACTCACGAATTGAATTTTGTTTAGTTGTAAGTTTTTTTCGTACGATTCAGTATTTGCAGCGCCCTAACGACTGCTTCGAACCCAAATTCAATGTAAATGCATTTTTATTAGTTTAGTCCTTTATCATTCGGGGAATGAGAGACAGCGAACCGGTACATTTAGAATAGCGGGTAGCATACTGGCGTAGTACAAATGGACGTGTGAATGTGTGATGCGGTGTGGTGCGTACGTGCACGCTATCTCAGGATCGCTTGTCGTTTGACAAATGCGCAGTGTATTTTTGGAAGGATGCGTGTTACCATTTAATTGACGTTTCGTGTGAAACAGTTAAATGGTCACACCCCTGTATGCATTGGTCGTATGCAACCTCTGATTGTATGGTTGTGATCTTATCGGAATCGATTCGAGTAGTTTGTCAGAAAACTAGTCATCGACGGAGGTTGACAATTTTGCTCAGGGATAATGGATCTGGAGAGACTAGTACTGCCCGTATCTATTGATTAGATGTAGTCTTTTTTTTAGTGATATCTGAATTGTGCTCTGCGCCCGAGTGCAATCTGTCAATCTCTTGCGTCGTTGTAGAGCGTTAGTTGACATCGGAATGACGTTATATTTACTTTTTACAATCAAAAATTGGACCACTGCATAGTTGAATCTACGCTTATTTTTTGTCCTTTCCATCGGAATTATATAATTTTTAAATATTTTTTATTAATCATATATTTATATCAAACGATAGGTGCTGTTGTATTTAATTTTAATATTACACACGATTGTGATAAGGCGACTCTCTCGATTGTTAACGATGAGCCAAATCATGTAAAGGGTATATTTGAATTACTTTAGGATAATCGTGGACGAAGTTTTATATCATACAAATTTTACAACCGACGCTGTATAATTTTTCTAAGTACACAGGTAAAGTCATATCATGATTATTCTGCGATTTTTCTAAATTACTCTAGATTGTTTAGACGTTCGTCCGTTTTTGAGATTGTTCTACGTGAATGCACAAAGTAAGGTTTAGTCTAGTTACACGTTGCGATGTTATTTTATACGTCGTAGGATAATTTCTGAAACGGCTTTTATTGCCTTTGCGCGCTTACCGTAGTACACAATTTTTACGTTTCGTGTTTAAATTATTTCGCGTAATTATTATTGCATTTATTCGTTGACAGATATTTTATAGCGTAAGCTGATATGAAGGCCTTAACTGCTTCACTGTACCTGTTGATGAGATTTGGCTAATTGTGTAAATTTATGACGTCATGATTTTTGCTGCAATTGATTGCAATTGGGGTTATTTTGAGGCTATTTTTTGTAAATTCTGAACATAAAATATATATTCAAATCGATATCACAAAATTTGTAGTGAAATAGTGAAACTTATTATTGGTTTTTTAATTCAGTTTAATAACGGAAACATTCAATTGATTGATTAGGAAAAGATGAATACGTTGCTACTGATTTGTGATATTCATCTTGAAATAAAGGCAATTCTCATTTTTTAAAACTGACAGTTGTTAAATGGATATTATAAATATCAGAAACATTACAATAAAATTCAATTGAAAAAAGTACCGTATGTAATGATTGAGCTAATCGTATCTAATAATTGAAATGTACACTGTCAGAGTTAAAATATATACATAGTACCAAAAACTTATACGATTCTGGTTTTTATTTACTGCTAGTTTCATAGAACTGATTGTATGGACACCTTTATTACGTCGTGCTTAGATTTTACAATACACGGAAAATGTTAATCAGTCCTACTATGAAGCAAATGAAAATAGTTAAATTTGGCACTACCGGATCACATAAGCGTTTGGCACTACGGCTCGCATCACTAGACGCTTGATAGAAACCAATAGACGCGCTGAACGCGATGCAAAACGAGAGCTTTATAAATCTAATTTGTAGTAAGACGTGATCTCTTTATTTTAATAGAATTTTGATGGACAATTTTACTTAATAGATCTAGCGGTGTAGCGAAATAGGATTGTATCGCACATTTTATTATACTCTATAGTTTCGAACTGATGCCCTCCAAGAAATTTTGACATGCATCATTAAAACCCTCGAGCCCCTTTAGCGCTGTTCCGATTGGAAGTATAACTTTGTGTACATAATTGTATAATTTTTTTATGTAAATATTTTTTGTATGAAATTCCGTTGCCCCGTGACTGGGTTTTAATGATGCGATCTATTCGATACCGCAAGGAGCCTTCAAGTCTGTGTATTTATTTTGTAAATATGTGATTTCGATTACAATTAATGCTAGACAACGAGCGTTGTATGACAGCCGTTCGGACTTCTGCGCACACTGTCAGTTTTGTTAGGACTGAAGTGGCTACGGCGTATAAACTGTGTCTGACTACCCTCCTATTTAGGTAATAGAGATTTATTTTGTAAAATGTATAATAATTTGTGTAAACTGTTTTATATTTGACTATTGTATTGTAAATTTGAATTATTTGTGTCAGATGTCTGTTTATTCATTGTAGCCATCAATTTTGCGATGCATTGGCGTTAAACACGTTTAGCACTCACGTCTATACAGAAGTTAATGCATAGGAAAACAACTAGATGGCGCTATATTTAATATCAGTATTTTTAATATGAAATTGTAAAATCTCTTGAACAAATATGAATGGAAGTGCTATTCGTAATTTTTATCGTTATCTCTTAATACTGATGTAAGTATAGAGTCACTGAACACAGCCTGCGTTCGTTCTAGGTAATAAGCCTTGCACTAGCCTCGAATACGAAGGATCAGACATTCCACAGGCCCTATCGAATTAGCTCAATGCAAAAGACTGTATGAGACTTTAAAAGAGAAATATCATGAATAAAAAAAATATTTTCTGAAGCACCTTAACGACTTTACAAAACGTGTTTTATGGTGATTTAATGATAAGATCGCAATGTTTAACTCACTAGTATGTAAGGACAAATGCTTTACGCCACTGTGATAGACAATACAATTATACCTGAGAGAAAACACCATAGGCATTTATGTGAAATTTATTATTGTCTTATGAAATGGAATGTAATGTACCTACTCTCAGTTGTGATGCTGACGGTACTCTATTTGAGTGCGAACATTAAAAATGCAATAATAACAACATTATGACATGTTCTATTATACAATTTTTATTTGAAGCCATATTTATAGTTTAACCACTTCATACTACAAATTTCTTACGAGTACATGTTAGAGTTAAGGTCATCATTTTCCATTTACGTCTTGCGTTATATTGGTATACAATTGCATGTTAGTTGAGAAAAAAAATACTATTGCAAATGTTATTTATTCACTAACTCCATGGTTTTGTACTTTTTATATTCATTTCTCATTACTTTTGTACCCTTCATTGCCTTAGTGTTAAAAGCCCAAACTAGAGTACCATCAGTAATAATTAAAAGTACAAAGCGTATGTGCAGAAGTTTCGCGGCTCGACTGTTCGAGTGTTCGCGGTGTGGGGATGTGTGCGTGCGCGCATGAGTGTGTGTATGTGTGCGGCCGCGCGGCCCGCGTCTCGCTGCTCTGTTTGTTGACACATTATGTATATTTGAATGAATCAAATTATAAGAGAATATGAATTTTGATATGACTTTTATTTTGTTCTGACTACCATAAAAGATAATTATTAATATAATGTTAAAACAGAAAATAATGAACACCGCATTTAAAATTTACCAGCACTTTTTTTTTGTGTCAATTAATTCTTCTTTAAAAAGGATTTAGAGATTTTAACTTTTCCACTTGATTAAATCAATATAGAAAAATAATATATGGACAAGTTTATTTCTTTCTATAAAATAAAACCAAAATACAGCTAAACAATCTATTTGCACTAAAAAAACTAATTTATATATATTTAAATACAACATCCTTAAAACTGTCAACTGTCTGGAGTTCTAGGGTAACAGGGCATTGTAACCAGTTTGCCATGAGCTCTTCTGAATAGCCTAGTAAGAAATACATCTTAGTTGGTGAGACAGCTCTTCGGATGATGGCAGCTACACGAATATGATTAAATTGCCGTTTTATGATTATCTGCAAAGGCAAGAGCTTGTTACTTTTATTATATATTGCTATAATTATTATATATTTTAGAGGGATCAATGTAAATTTTTCAAAAGATTTGGGTACTGTCAATTGGGGAAAAGTAATTTTTATTATTTCATTAGTTAATTTAAAAATGTATCACCTATAAACTGATTTTCACAGCTTCATAAATTTATCCAATAGTTATGCATGATGTTCTTTACTATTTTGCATCACTAACATTAGAAACATATTTAATTAGATACATTTTACTTAAACACTAACAATAATAAAAATTAATGTATACTGATTTAGTCTTGACTTTGGATATTATTCAAATCTGGTCTCGGAATCTTAGTAACTCAACTTCAAAATCACTAATAATTGGTATACTTACTTCACTACAAACAAGTCCATGCCAGGTTCCATTCATAAATCTTCTTATGAATTCATCTTCCAGTGCTGTTTCTGATCTACGGATTCCATCTTTTAAGTTAGCTAAAAAGCAATAATGAAAATTTAATTTATTAAATAATAGGAATTAAAATTGATAATGATGATTTTCTTTACAGTAATTAAATAAATATCACCAATATTATAATATATATACTAGCTCTAATACATAAGAAGAAAGAATTGTTAAGCAGTATATGCTGTATAATCAAAAATTTGTCCCTAAATTATATATTAACTAGTATAAAGAATATACCCACAGGTATTCCATGAATTCCAAGTTTTTCTGTGAGCAATATAATGTGGTGGATTAGCCATTTCGTAAGTAAGGGGTTTGTCCCTCTTTTTTTGTGATTCTGTATTTTCCGGAGACAACTCTGCATAATGCTGTTGAGGTATGAAATTGGGAAGCCAATATAGGAGCATTTTTGGTTATAATAGAGGCATTCTGTAAGAGATATATAGATTTGAAATATGGCCTACTGTATACACTAAAAATATTTAAAAGTACTTTAATAAAGTTTACCTGAGCTAATTTAATAACTGAGAAATTCATAATTTTATATTAATAGATCATAAATTTAAATTTTAAATAACCTCTCAAGTAAAATCAAAACACAAATAAGCACAGATCACGTTACACGTAAGTAGTTGGCATTCATTATTTGGAAAATTAATATCAAATTCACAAATGACTTTGACAATTATTTCACGTCAATTATGCGGGACAAAATCACTTTGCGACAGGTGTGACTATTGACTAAACCACGAACACCGAATGAATTTATATGAAACTGGTCACGTGAGCTATGTCATTGATGTTGTTATACGTTAAATGTTTATAAATGGGTTTTTTTAACTAAGCAATAGAAATCCGCAGCAACGGAAATCACATTTTACAGACGATGTATTTACTTGGTCCTTTTATGTACACATCCATTTCATGCCTACCCATACTCATGAATACCCACCTACTCCAATGACTATATTTTAACTGCAAAAAGTAATAAAAGATACACTAAAAATAAACTAAAGTGTGAAAGTAAAATTACAGAATAGAGCGGGCGACCAGTGCCCAGGGACGCTATCTTAAGGACTTGGCTTGACGTGATTTACACCTAAAAATTAAAGCATAGGAACCACGTAAAAAGACTGTCTACCTTATTTACCTGACCTTGCTATTTGACTCTGAAATAAATGTCTTGGTGAATGAGATGCCTATTTCCTGGTGCTTTTATTCCTTTTAAATACCAACCATTAAGAATTCGTATATATTTATCAATGTCAGTCAAGTGACAACGTTATTTTAGTCACATTATTGTTTGAATCTAAGAACAAGAACTAAAGTATACTACTCTAAAATATTCTAACGCCTTCCGAATACACTGAAGTAGATAAAATAACGTTTATCCGTTTACGTTTTTTTCCGTTTTCAACGAAAACAGTTCATTCAACAATCTATACTTTCTAGTTTCCTTCAACCCTTCCCTTTTGATTTATGTAGATACTACACTCCGAAAAGACGACAACCATTTTTCTAAATTTATTGCCATTTTATGATAAAGTAAATTCAGCAATTTAATGCAAATTAATCCAGCCGATATTTCGGCTATAAAATCTTCTTAAAATTTTCATAACATAAAAATGCCGCTTTCGTCACGAGAGTGTTACTTCACTGTTCGAGATGTTAATTTCCTACATAGATACAAAACGCATCGATGCACAGCTGGGTTTTGAACACAACACCGGGTTCGATAATCTAATACACTAATACCGCTCCATATCATAATAATTAACACCAGTGGTGCTACAAATCTTGGCTTCAGATTTCTGAGACATGCCGATTTCCTCACACTATTTTGTACGAGCGAGTGTTCATTTTGCACATAGAAAGAAAAGTTAATTAGTGTCTAGCCGTGATCCGAATGTATGACCTATGGGTTGATGGTCGCTCAAGCCACTACGCCAACATCGCCCAGAATAAATAAAGTTATCATCGAAAAGATCTTTACATTGCATACGAATATTTTAAAGGTTTGTGTTTAACCACAATGGTTTCTAATTAAATTGCCATCAAATCTATAATGAACAGGTAAATTGGATATTAAATTAACAACAGTTTTATGATAATTACCTTCTAATATTATACGTACTTTTAAAAATTCTAGCAAGAGAATGCGGCAGTTTACCTTTATCTTTCTTTCATATTTTGCGATAATTATAAAAGGTAATACGATTTGATAAATACATCTCTTTTATTCAATAATTATTGTAATAAAATTAAGATTTCATCCAATAGTCCATATACCTAAAATTTGATCAAGTATTTACCCACTAAACACATTTTAATAACAAAATACAAAAGCTTATAAAAAGGTGTTATTATTGTTAAAGGTGACGTGTCAAGCAATCTAGAATCGCGCAATCCCCTCATTGATATAATTCTCAAGAAAATTAGTAAAATATCTTCAGAATCCGTCCAAAATGGGACATATATTGACGATGACGATGAGTTTAATAAAATCGAGAAACAACTCAAAAAAGCAGCAGAGCCTTTAGGAGAAAAAGGTGACAAATATGTCAAACTGATTATGCGAGGAATCCGATCCGGTAAAAATAAGATCAAAAAAATAAATGACATTATGAGTAATTCTAATCAAGATGAATTACTAGCAAGTGATTTACATGAAAATGGTAAGAAAGTAGATCTATATAGGACACAGGTCGTTATTATAATAATTTAAAATTGTATATAAATTACCAAATTTTAAAAAAATGGCGAGTGTAATCGTCGTACGGATGTACGAAAATTTGGTTTAAATTTATTGTGATAATACGCTTAAAAAGTGCCTAGTATAATTCTTCTGTAAAGCTTAATCTTTGTTTATTTATATATCTATATATTACAATTGCTTATACTAGCGTGCTCGCGTGCTAAGGTGACGAACCTACCTCCGAACTAGTTTAAAATAATGTTACCGAATTAATCGTCATAAAAAATAGCGGTAAAGAGAGAGAAATGAGAAATTGAATTTCATTTTAGTACGTAACTCAAACAGAGAGGATCTTGAAGCAAATACAATGGATGCATCTTTGCAAACAAAAATCAATGTAACGAAGGGTGAAAAAGAAAACATTTTTAATTCTATTGAAGATAAGTTACGAAAAGCTGCAGTACCACTGGGCGATCAAGGAGAAAAATACGTCAAAATAATTATGCGAGGAATTCGCAATGGCAACAAGAATATCAAATTAACAGTCAACGATAAATCATTAGATAAGAGTAAACATTACAGTACGTAAAACATTACCTTATATTAAATTTACACTATCACTCCAAAATTTTACGTTTGTAATTACTTGATTTGCAGAAATTGGACACGGAAAGCCACGTGATACCATGTTACATTATATAATCGAAAGAATTGGTAAGTTGTCTCTGGATTCAATTCGTCAAATTAAAACTGACTCTGAATTTGAAGATAAAATCAAATCGGTCGAAAATAACTTAAAAATAGCAGCGGAGTCAAAAGGAGAAAAGGGAAAGAAATACGTAGACTTAATTCTGCGGGCTTTACGGCGCATTTATAGACAGACTCGTGATGTAGATTATAACAATAAAGTAACGATGTCTGATGAAGTTGATAAAGTCGTTGATCATACCTATAAATTACATAATATGATTAAAATTGATGAAGGTAATGATAGACTAAGAAACCAAGTAATTCAAGACATAGCAAGTACTGTTAAGAAACTCATAATAAAATATCATACATCTGGAAATGATACATTATTATTACAAGAAATCAAAATGAAATTATTTGAAAGTTTGAAGCATAAAGATTTAATAAACACCAATGATGATATAAGGTCATTAACTAACTTGCTAATTGATGGAATAAATGCAGCGATAACAAATTTAAACATGAATAGACGATACGGTAACAGAATTCCACATAACATAAATAGCATATTAGAATTTAAAAGACCTCAAGAAAAACCATCAGTTTCTTATAAAGAATGCAGGGATACGGTCAACAAAACTTGTTCTAATATAAATTTAATAAAATCCCTAAAATGCTCTAATGCGAATGAAATAATCCACATAACTCAACTTTGCAATGGAAATGCTGATTGCTCTGATTATTCAGATGAAAAGTATTGCACAGAACAGGGTAATTGCAACCTATTTATATTTTCGTATTTATTATTATTGATTATAAGTATAACATTATAATTTGACTACACACAACTTGCGAATCCCAGAACAACAAAATATTTTTCGTTTTGCGCAGCAACAAAACACTATCAGACTAGGGATTTTTCGCAGGGTTTTGTTAAGTACCTACATATTATGTTCTTATCTTGTATATGTTCATAAACTTTTAAACATAATATATTAGTCGTTATAATTCTGACATGTATTCATATTGTATATATTTATATCTATTATTTTTTGACAAGAACATTTCAATGCGATATAATAATGGATACCAATAATTTTAGCTATCAAAAAGCTTCGATTTGCACATAACATTCTTACTGGTATAAATAAACCATTAGAAAACGGTTGCTTTCCGGGTGCTATGAATCCAAACTTACTTTCAAGACAAAATAATTTTTTACAAGATATATTAAATTCCCAATTAGAATTTATTGAAAAATATAAATCTGAACATCGTATTAAACTTGCAACAAATGGCAATACAAGAAATCGTCTAATAAATGAAATTACTGATGTATTAAGCACTTTGACAATGGCGCTAGATAAAGCTTTTTGTTCTAATAAAAATACTCGAAGATTTAATAAAATCCTGGACGAAGAAGATCCTTGGCCAACAGATAAGTGGCCCCCTACGTCATGTCCCTGTCTTCAAGGACCGTGTCAGAATTGTACCTACCCGTGCAAAAGAATATGTTGGCACAAGAGTAGTTTACTAAATTGGAACTGCGAGTCTGTAAACCAGTCATCTATGGTACCTTTAAGTGTAATTTGTGATGGTAAAATTGACTGTTTTGATGAATCCGATGAAAAAGGATGTTTTTTAGGTAAGTAACACTTAAGTTCATCAGTTTTAGCAATAGTTTTAGTGATTCGTTTTTTATATCCAAAATTAAAATATTTGTTTTGCTTTCGAGTCCGTATGATTTTCATGAATGAAACGCAGTACAAAATACGTATTAAAGAATTATTAAGCACCAAGTCTAAATATGTTATTCATATGCATATCTAATATTACCGTATCTAATATATTTCGTTCCATAGAATTATTATAAACTAATTCTTATATAAGTATACATATTTAACTTTAGCTACAACACATGGTAAATTTGCCGCTCACAAGAATTTTATTGAAGTAACAGATGCTTTAAAATTGAAAGCATCTAAAGATTACAAAGCTGAAAGAAATAAAATCTGGGTACTTATCCACGCAGTGTATGATCTAGAAAAGATAAGCCTTAAACCGAACCCTAACCCAGCGTCACTTAAGGAACATCGAAACGAGTGCTTTAACTTAATCACAATGGTTTATACTGAATTATTAAAGCATACATCTTATGCATTTGAAGCTGAGGAACTGTACCAATTTCTGTTGAATATAAACCAACAGCTGGGCACGATTATTAAGCAAATTGGTACGGGAAACAAGAAAGTCATATCAGGCGGATGTTTCTGTAGAGAGGAAAAATGTGCAGTTTCCTATTGTACTAGAAAATGTAAGAAGGCTTGCGCTGTTGAACTTAAATTCACTAAATATTATTGTTTGGGTAAACTTAATAAATCAATTGATATTGATAAAATTTGTGATGGAACTCCCGACTGCTCATTAGAAGATGATGAACGAGACTGTAAAAAAGGTAATTTCTTTGTCAATTTTGGAATTACTTTTTCCACTTTTAGTATATGTTCTAGATTTTTTCAAACATTATGTACGACGACGTAGGATGTAGTAGATAGAATATTCATAGATCTTCTATATGTAATATATTTTCAGATTCAATAAAATTCGAAAATTCAGTGAGTGATAATATCTTTTGATACCAAATAATGAACGATAAATATACATTATATTTTCAATAAATATATTTGTTAAGACCACAAACACGGCTGTAGAATTTATATTTTTCGTAACGAGAAAATGTGATCTTTTGGAAGATATTTCGTTCCAATCTCTGGCAGGAGGACATCGGATTCTTACTCTGATTCTTTGATAAAGGACCTGTCCATCAATATTGTTTAAATGCAATACATATTTAATTTACAGAGATGTGTCGAAATCATCATCTAAGGTTGTTACAATTTAAAATTGAAGACGTTGGTGTCAAACAGAAAGGTACTTCGATGGGTGAAGTTCTATCCACTTGGAAAGAAAAGGTAACCAAGCAATCAATTTTAATATAGGCAAAAGTATTGTTGATAAGGGCCCAGCTAATATTAAATGAAATTGCTCCATTACATATAGCAAATCTACCTATTATTGAACGCGTAACACTTGTGGTGCTAAAACAATTTATATCAATATCTAATAATGCGAAATATTAACTGTATTTCGCATTCCAAACACTATAGTCTATAGGTATTAACGGTACATAGCTACATGCGTGTGTTTATTGTATTTTCTTTCTTAATGCTCAATGACGATCATCTTAAGTATATGTATATAATAATGTATGTTTAACTTTGAATTTCAACATATACAACTGTTACTCAAATTAATAAAGCCTAATTTGTAGGTCATAAATACCTTAAAGGTAGCTGAAAAATCTGGAAAACCAACGCCAAAAGTGATCAAAGAAATTGTAAAGGGTGCTCTAAGGGATCTCGTAATGACCTACGGTTCTGTGGAGGAGTACCGACGGAAGAATAACAATTATGCTCTAGATGAGTTTACTTTAATAGCTCAAAATGTTCTCGATACTGTACGATCTTGTAGCAAATAATGAATTGAGTAAAGAATCATTATTCAAAAGAGATTTTTATTAATAGGATATTTAGTCCAAGTTCTCAGTCTACAAACACCTCACAAATTAGCCAATATATTTTTCGTCCTGTCATATTACAATAATTATGTCTAAATCATGATGTATATAGAAGCTAAAAAAGTATTATAATTATTTGACGAAGCCTCCAGATTTACAGGCTCCACTTTTTTGAACAATTAAAAAATTGGGGAAACTTTATGAACCATGTTCAATAAATACCTACGGACATTTCATGGTGTAAGAAAACAATTAAAATAATTTGCGGGCCTTTTATTACCTAAAGATCTCTTTAATTACAAACATAACTCCAACGGGACATCCTCTAATATTAAAAACAAAAAAGTTAATAGGTAAACAATTTCATTCATTGTAGTACGCGACATCGACAACAGCACTTGGTCACAATTCTTGTTCCCAATGATAACTTTAAGTATTTTTACATGTAAGTAATTTTTTTTTTAAATATCGAACATAAACAAAGGAAAGGCTAACACCTAATGGTGTATAACATTAAAGCTCCTGACTGAGTTAATGTGATTAATCCAACCATTTAAAAAAATGTGCAATAATAACTTGTTTTTTTTTTTGTTAAGTAAAAATTTAATAAATAATATTATATAAATGATAAAAAAAATAACGCTATTCATATAAGAGGTCGAACTTCGAGCTCTATAAATAATAAATTTGCATTTATATCCGTTTTTTATGTTTACTTGAAAATCTGTGATGAAAAAATGAAAATCAATATTATTTTAATTTGTTTTATTAAATAAGCATGTTATTGTGACAATTTATGATACCTTTCGAGTACCGAAATTACTTAATCTTATCCAATTTTAAATCCCCAACTAGGCATTTTTTTAAATTGGCTGACTCCTGGATTAACGAAGAGCGAAATAGAATCTGAAAGTTTTGAATGGGACCGTAACGATCGTTCATTTGACTGTATAGTTGGAATAGAAGTACATAAAAAAAGAGTGGGGCAAGGTGTTATTGTCAACCTCCGAACTATAGTAACATCAGCTAACCCTTTGAATGCATACATAAATAACAAGAATCCAGTAAAAGTATTTTCTGTGGAGAAAAAAACATTTAATAATTCAGTTGATTATCCTATAGATTCCATTAAAGGTAATCAGGTAAAAAGAGAAAGTGTTTGGATCCAAATTGGCGAAGACCGTACTAATTCACCCATTCATGATATAGTACTGATTATTCTCAGCAATAATGTATCTGAGGCTCATAAAATCGCAACATTTCCTTTTTCTGATGAACTATTTGAAGCTCCTTTGCCCGATAGCGGATGGATTGTTTCTGGGTTTGGATATGCTGACATACAACATATTAAGAATCATAGAATTTTGGAGATATCGATTCTACCTGGTAAGCTTTTAGATTGTGATGAATGGTTTCCACGTGACTGGGGTCATTTTATATGTATTGATAACGAGGAAAATCTGCCTGGAGTGCCATCTGGCGGGCCTTTATTTCACATTGATCACGGCAAAACTTTATTCGGTGTCGGATGTTTTTCATTGAGAAAGGGCAATGAGAGTATTCTAGTATTTACAAATCTTAAATTATATAGATTTGGATTACGAGGGTATTTTTTTAATCCTACGGAGGGCCCTAAAAAGAAAGAGGAGACTACGACTATGCCAAATAATAAGTTAAATATTACAAAAGGTGATATAGTATTGTAATATAATAATTATAGCCTCTTTTGAGACATGACAGTATTTTCTTTATTTTTCGTAGATTGTTCTTTTGTTCCACTTTTGCGTGTCCGTTTGCCAGGTGGCAAAGGCCTCCTCCAATCTTCTCCATTCTGGCCTTTCTATAGCCACTCTACCCCATGTTGTTCCCTCGACTTGTCTAATGTCGTCCCACCTTTTTTGTGGTCTACCTCTCTTTCTCTTTCCATCTCTTGGGTACCATTGTGTGATTATTTTACTCCATTTATCCTTTCCTCTGATCATGTGGCCTGCCCATTTCCACTTTTGTCTTATTATTTTCAAAGTAATGTCCTGTACCTTAGTCTTTCTTCTGATGTTGCTACTCCTTACCTTGTCTTTTCTTTTGATCTCAGTCATGCTCCTTTCCATTGTAATATATATTATATGTATACATTTGTAATCTACTTCATGAATAAAAAAAAATGTTGGTTTATTATTATCGATCGATAAAATTTCTTTGAGGTGCGGAGATTGATAAAACTTATCAATTAGACACATAAAAATACCAAGAACACCTACCTGATATTCTTGGTATTTTTAAAATATACATTTTGTAGAATATGATGTCTATGTAAATGCTATCCTCTTAATTATGTAATACATATATTTCGATCGAACAAATTTATGGACATTATATATTACAGTAAGTATGTTTGGTACCAAATCCAAAAAAAATTAAGTTATTATGTTATTGGTGTTAATAAAACAAATCCATGCGAAATTAATTAACAAATGGATCTTTGATTTTGTAAAATTGTATCAATTACTACACGTTGTTTTAACTCTAGCTAAATCCAACTAAATTGGACCCTAATAGGTGCCAAATTAATTACAAAAATGTCTAACAATTTAAAGTTATCTAGAAGCTTTTCGCTACATTTTTGCCTTCGACGAATTTTGAAATTAATTACGTTTATCAGTTTTATGCATTATCTTGTACTAATGAGTCAGGTGGCGTACATAAACGTACCAAGGACGACGTTGATATCAGTTGGTTTTGATACATCGTTCGAAATGGCTGCAGGTGAGTCTGATAACATTAAAAATACACTCAAAGCAATGGCCTGATTTTATTATCGTATAGTATAGTATTTTATTTTTTGTCCATACTTTTGATTAACCACGTAATTTCGTTAGACATGCCTAGTTATATGTATATTATTTCCTAATCTAGTGGCTAGCTGGCCTGGCCCGTGGCACAACGGAAATGGAATCGTCAAAAAGTTTAATTGTGTCACATTTTTTAAGTTATTCTCAAGTTTTGCAAGGTTTTCAGCTTGACGTTATTTTTCATGCAAATGATGCATGTGTATTATTATTCGTGGTATTGTTACGCAAATACTGTAGTAGTTTCTCGAGAAATTACTGTTTCTTCATAAATGTAGTCCTGTTTCTAGAAGTCTATAAGTATTATCTTTAGAGATAAAACAATTAAATAAATCTTGTACGTTTAATGACAAAGAGAAAGCTAGATAACGTAAGTAAACCCTTCAAACATGAAACCTATAAGTTTTTAAAGTGCAATTCTTATAACCAATAGTATGTACTATTCTAAATAAAACTTTCTGGTTATTACATATACATATAGCGTGAAGAATAATATGTATTCGGATTACAAATAATGAAAAAGATAAGCTTTACAATATCTAATCTTATCAATAAAAATAGCGACGAAAATATTTTATCGATATTTCTTGGAAAAACAGCTATCCGGTTTTCGAAAATTGTTTCAATCGTTGATAAGCGTTTTCGATATTTTACTACTTCCTTAACGCAACCTATTATTTTATAGACAGATATTACGGATACGGTCGTGGTCCATATGGGTACCCTGGTCCTGGATCTGGGTATCCACCTATGGGTTACCCTGGGGGTCCAAATATCCCTTTCTACCCAGTACCTCCTCCCTATTTCTATCCCCCTCATGGAATGCCCCCAAGCCATCCAGGAATCGAAGTAGCAGTAGTTGACGATGGCCCAATTATGGCAGGGGAGACTGTTGAATTGCCTTACAGTAAGTTACTTCTGCCTGCAGTCTGGACTTTCGATACCATATAATCGCCATACTCATACTTTCTTTTGATGCCTTATCAAAAACTAAGGTTACAAGAGTTAACTAAGGGAATAGAAACAAATCCTGTATGGTTGAAGCCAAGCTAATATGGATTGCTATACCCGTAACGAAAGTCAAGATTTCAAGTGTGTTCAAGAACTTCGGATTACCAAGAAAGTCCGCAACTTCCAGAAATTATAGATATTTCTTGATGTTTTGGAGAGTTTCTTTGTGATCCTAAATAGAGAGATTGGGTTGGCATTGGAAAACAATCGTGCCGCTTATGCTGTATTAGGTTTTTTATTCGAACCACAAAAAAATCAGGTCAAGCTTCAAGTAGTACGATTGTTGTGTAATCGAAACAGACAACACCGTTATAATTACTAAAAGTAATTCATCTATCTCATCAACTAGTTTATTTGCGGTTTTACTAGTAATTTATTTGGCATAAAATATCATAATAATTATAGTAATGTAGATTTTCTCCTTATTCATCCTAAGAATTATATTTCAATTATATTACCTTGGGTTAAGATACTTAGAATCACTTTTTTTTAATAGTTATAACAAACAAGATGTAGTTGATTGTCATATTTTACTACGGTGTTGTCTATTAAAATTGTGTAATGTCCGCCAATGTTGGGCCAATTCTCTCTATGGTTCCCATCAACCCTCTAACGAACATTTTTTTTTCTAGAATCTATTGTTTAACATATCTTTTGATGCTACCATATAGAGTTTTGGCCATTGCTTTTTGTGTTGTGCAATTATTACATATGTATGATGTTATTTAAAATATACATATATCTATTTTGGAATAATAATAGTTTTATTATAGTATTGGAATACGTACGAATAGTAAATATGTATACTTATACATATGTTTTTTTAATTAGTTATTCAATTCAAGGTATGTTTAGGATATAACTAAAGCACATTCTAGGTTGACTAGGTTCCATTTATTGCAATTATGAGTTCTTAATTATTTTCAATTGGTTATTATAATTATGCGGTAAGGATAATATTGTAAGTATACTATTAACGACACCTTCCGAATTTAAGATAACATTTTAATGAATATTTTCAGGCACATACCGTTGGGTCCCAGCATGTCTGAGCCAGAGGAGTCTGCCCATGGGCGCTCTAAGGGTCGGTGTAGATGTTGATGGCGATGAAATTTTCGCGGGCAGATCTCATCACAGTGGGGACCTTCTGCCGGCTAAGGTCATCCCGGCCAAGAATGTTGCTTACGTTTGCTACTGTGGCGAGGAAATCTTGGTTGACCAGTTTGAGGTAAATATATTTCTTAAGAAATAGTCTATGTTGTAAATTTCGAATGCTTGTTATAATATAAATATTGTCTTCTCGCAGCAACTCAGAACTCTAGTTTCACAAAAATATTATATCACAATCGTAATAATTTTCCAGGTTCTGGTGCCATCCATGTTCTCCTGGCAGTTCGCAACTGGTGGAAACGTCCCACCTGGTGCTGTCGAAGCTGGTGTAACCGCTGATGGTGAGAAGCTGTACTTCGGACGTGTGACACACGATGGATGCACCACACCAGGAAAAGTGAGTCGACATTAAAAGGACCATTATTCTATGAATCTAGATTATGAAACTCGCAACAAGATCAGTTCTTGAACCTCTAAGTTACCCGTGGAAGTAGCTAAACAGTTTCCTGTAAAAACCTTTTTTTTTCAGATCCAAGGTAGTCATGGAGTGTGCTACTATCCCTTCGATGGTGAAGAGAGAAGCTCACCTGAGTACGAAGTTCTGGTCCTTATGTAAATTTAAATACAATACAAGGTATTATTACGTATTTATTACCAGCTAAATTGTAGCAGTATTCTCTCAGTCATTTTAGATGTAAGTAATATTGTCTTTGTATGAAAATATATTTTACATAAAAAAGTGTTTTTTCATTTAAAACCTTTAGACTGTGAGGAATTTATAAATAACAGTACATAATATATATAATTATAATTAACTATTTCCGTTCTTTTTCTTACTTATTACTTTTTAATTATTAAAATCGTTACAGTTATTATTAATGCGATAGATTATAGAAATATTATTGATAGTAGAATATTGTCTATGCCTACTGTGACATTGGCGCCAATACAAATAAGATATTTTATCGTAAACGCAGTGCTAGACAAAATTGTATTTTATTTACAAATAGTGCTAATATAGTTGAGAATGAACGATCGTATTCAGTGGCCAGTGCCGTCTCCTAAAATTTTTTAAAAGCAATAATACCCACGCAACCATAAACAAGAACTCAGGCGCGCATTTCTGTGTAAATCAAGGCTTCGTCGATTAAATATCAGCATTTAAAGGTTGTAATTGCATTGAGTTGCACGTTCGTTTACTTATCAACTTGTGTAGAGAGCAAACGATGTTAAAAATTATAATTTACGGATTTCTGCTTTTAAACGTAGGTAAGTGTCACGAATTTAAACTTCTACTAAACTCTATTATTTAAGAATAATTTATCGTAAAGGTGAATGGGGAATAGGATTTTTTGCGTAAGTGACACTACTATAATAATATTGTTTAGTACCGTTCGAGACGATGCAAAACATTTCATATATGTAATTATAAATGTTATTTAATATAGCTTATGTACATTATTAAAAAACATTATATTGGTTATCTTTTCGAGAAGATTTATTTATTTTTCTGTGGTCTTTCGTTGTTAGTGTACTCATAGTAACAGTATATAAGAACTAGAACAAGAACTTAAGTTCATAAATACCTAATTGAGTAATACGTTTGAATATAAATCATGCACACCAACTAAAATATATTTACTACATATTTAAAAAGTTCAACAATCAAAACCGGTATATAATTAGAGGTACATACCTATCTTGTTTACAAATTCAGTATCAAGATTTTAACGAAATATATTTTATTACAAATACAATCGTAGATGACAGATTCGGTGTAGAGCACATCGAAATTGTCCCCAAGGAGATTTTTTTCCGCATGCGCGGTAATGCGATAACTTTTGGCACCACGCGCTTTGTTGTATTGTTGAAAGTTTGGCCGAAAGTTTTGGTTTTAGCGCTCAATTTCTTTTTGCGTATATATCGTTACTATGTGGTTAAGAGTAATCTAAATTGTTATTGCCAAGTCCTACTTATAACTAGGTTGATAGAAACTTCGATCGGTACATGTCACATAGAAAGTGTTCACGATTTAAAAATATATTTTGTTATGTGCTATGTTTAGAATGTAAGAAAATATGCAATATTGCGTTTACGTGGCCCAGATTAACTTCTAGTGGGGCTTTGAATAAATTACCTAATTAATAATTTTTAGTTTTGGATACCGGGACAATGATCTATGGCGTTACTTAGCAAGGGAAGAAATTTGTTTAATCGTTTACGGATCAGTTGATAAACGTATACTTTAGGGTATTCGGATTATTATATTTCGGATATTGTATAAACATATTTAATTCTTTTTGTGATTAAAAAAATATTAAAAACTGTAGACATATAAAAACGCGTTATCTTGTTTAGGTGAATTTTCTTTGATTTGGTATGTATAAGATTAACTTTTTATCTCCCTATCATCAAAATATATTAGGCATTCAAACTTAACGCGATTTGCTTTTTTTAAATTTGAACCATATCCTTTAGAAAAACCAATTAATTAATTTAATTATTATTCGGTAGATTAAGAATATTGTCAATACTCGATTTGTGTGTTATTAAATTAAATTCCGATTTAATAAATTGGTATAATTATAAAAATGGTGTCGACCCTGTTTATTTGTGAACGCAACAAGCGAAAGAAAAATGTCCATCCAAAATCCATGAAATGAAATCTATACAAACCACCTATATCTGATAGGCGTCCTCCAGGCATCACATTTCTCTTACACAAGCTACCTGGGTCTAGTGCAGGCCAGCAGTTTACAGCAGTACTCATCGCATTTGGGGTCTATTTTCGGACCTTTCCATGATGTGACTCGATTTGTCCATCTTGAAGCCACATGTCCTGCCTATTCCATTTTAATATTTTGGCCTACATGACTGCAACTATGGCTTTTGTAGTCTCGTATTTTTTTCAAGGCACATACAAAACAAAAATTGATAAATAACCCCATATAAACGAACGAATCTTCAAAAGGAATAGATAAAAGGCAAATTAGTGTTATTTTAAATATAAAAAACTATTTGCAGTACACACAGTATGGACAGATACCGCTGGGGAATGCAATATGGCAGGCTTCTACATAGAGCTGGGCTGCACACCTGTACCGGCTGTAGATAACGCAACAACCTGCCCCGAGTCTTTCATTTGTCCAGACTTACATCCTGATCCAAAATCTTGCTACTACAGGTAACATGGTACTAAGAATATATTATCCACAATATATTTATTTATTTATACTTTTTTACCTTAATCAAAAACATGCTCATAACAAAAATAAAAAAAGCAGGTTACAAAAGTTATAAGGCAACGGGCGGCCTTATCGCTAACAAGCGATTTCTTCCAGGTAACCCTAATGTGGAACAATAAAAAAGAAACACCTACAGATGGGTAGAGTTCCCCCTTTTCCTTGGATTAATTTTGGTTTGGGGGAGGGGGGGGGGCCCTTTTTTTTTTTTTTTTTTTTTTTTTTTCTTTTTTTTTTTTTTTCCCCCCCCCCCCCTTTTTTTTTTTTTTTTTCCCTTTTTCCCTTACAAGAAAGTTGCTTAATAATATTTATTAAAAAGATCTAGGGTATTAACTATAAAAAAACTCAAAAGACTTTTAGGGAAACAGCTATGTCTGAACATTAATTAAAAGTAAATATTCAAACTACAGAATACAACCATAAATTAAACTTATAATAATATTTTAAGGGAAAATCTACAAAAGGAAAAAATAACAAACAACCTTAATAATAAATAAAGCAATATTTATAGAACAAATAATTATATGAAAGCCAATCAACAGGTACAGTAACTGAGTCACAATAATTAATATCGAGCATTCCATATAATATAATGTCATACCTAGATCTTTTAATAAATATTATTAAAACTTTATCTTGATTTCAACCCCAAAAATCCAATTTTTTTCTCTCCTCGCTGTGGTTACCACCCGCCCCGGGGGGAAACCCCTTTTTCCCAAAAATTTTTTTTTTTTTGGGGGATTCCCCCCCCCCCCCCCCCCTTTTTTTTTTTCCCTGGAAAAAAATAAAAAACCCCCCCCTTCGGGGGGGGGGGGTTCCCCCCCCCACCCAACCCTTGTTATTTATAAAATAAGACAGAGCTAATTACGAGGCAGAAAGAAAATGATCAAAAAGAAGCTTTTTAAATAAATTTAAAGACTGAGCTCGTCTAATATCAATTGGTAAGAAATTCCATAACAGGATACTTTGCACAGTAAAGGAGGAGTGATAGAATTCAGTTTTATGAGTAGGAGTTTCAAGAATTAGATTGTCTAAGGAACGCAAGTCAAAACTACCGCCAGAGATGAACATAAAATTTTGCTTTAAGTAACTAGGAGATTTAGGATTAAAAAGAACATTATAGAGAAGTTGTAAAATGTGTGAGCCAGTGTTGGCCTAGTGGCTTCAGCGTGCGACTCTCATACCTGAGGTCGTAGGTTCGATCCCCGGCTGTGCACCAATGGACTTTCTTTCTATGTGCGCATTTAACATTTGCTCGAACGGTGAAGGAAAACATCGTGAGGAAACATGTCGGTTTCCTCACTCTTAGACCCAAAAAGTCGACGGCGTGTGTCAGGCACTGGAGGCTGATCACCTACTTGCCTTAAAAATGATCATGAAACCGATTCAGAAATCTGATGCCAAGACTTAAAAGGTTGTAGCGTCACTGATTTTTTTTTTTTTTTTTTTGTGTAAAATGTGCATCTTACACTAATGACTTTATAAAATAAATATACCCTTGAACAGTAAGAAAATAAGGTAAACGCCTTGATAATGACCTCACAAATCAAAGAAATATCAACGTAGGAATAACGTTTTTACTAAAACAAACATTGTGCAAAAAGCGTGCGTCCTCTTGAGCAATCATTCGGAAATTCCGTTACCTTCGATTCGTCTGTTGTCTTACTCACAAATTACATGGCTTCGTAAGCTGTGAAATTTAAAATTCCATTTTTAAATGTGTTACCAGTCAAGGCAAAATAATTTAATAAATATTTGATGAGCTGAGATTATTTTTATTTACTTACGCAATGATCAAGTTGCAATGAATGCAATATTAAGCTTTAAGATTATGCGAGTTTGTTTTTAACACTGACGGACTACACCATTTAGTTCGCTAGATGTAGAACTTGAAGCGAACTGGTTTAGAATTTCAAGAACATACTTATCCTATACTTCTTTATGTATCATTTAACGTAGGTGCGTAAATGGTTGGTTAATATACATAATGCCTTGGCATATTAAATAAATATTATTTTGAACTATATTGTCGATATGTAAGAAACACTTTGGTCAGGTACTGGTTGAAGTACTGCGGTGTAATTTTATTTTTCATTAGGTATCCCATAACACATGCAGTTATTATAAGATTTACTCTTTATGGTATGTAGGTCAAGATTGGATTGGATTTATTGATTTTATTTTATCAAGATCAAGTCCAATTTTGCCAAATTATCCATAAAAACTATAAATATACAAATAGTCCTTAAACTCCTACGAGTATACTCTACAGAGTTCCGTATTTGATTAATAGAACATTTTTAAGTAGGTAAGTAGTAGCTAATCTGTCTCTGTCAGACTGATAATGTATTGAGTTTAAAACATACCGGTTTGGTATGTCTTTTTGAGCAGGTTTTGAATTCTGTATTCTTTGTAGGTAAGTCCTTATAATTGTCTTTGCAAAAAATATTTTAATTGCCTTTGCAAGTCCGTTTCCTCACCGTTTATTCTTCATACAAGTGTTTATTTAGTACATAGAAAGAAACAGAAATCCGTTGCCCAAGAACGAACGAGATTCGTATTTATTATTTCTCAGTACCGACCGGTAATATTGAATTCATTATCATTCAATATTTTCAGAGGTAAAGCCTACCAAGACCGCACCACGATACCTCAAAGGCTGATCAACAATCCATGCTCGCAGGCCTGTAGTTGTAATGTTGGTAACGAGCCGCGGTTCGATTGCGCGGCCGTTGACTGCGTTGAAGTTTTCGATACGGATGTACAACAGCAATGTATTAGCACTTATCAGCTAGACTCGTGTTGCAGTACCGGAAGTGTTTGTGGTAAGCAATATTTGTACAAATAATTTATTTTTAAGGTCCCTCAAAAAGTGGCTTAGTTGGTTTATCTTACCCTACATATATATATATATATATATATATATGCGATATTTTTTACTTTTATTTATTTATTCATTCTCTATGAGAAGGTCTAACATAACATATTAATAGTATAATGTAACTGTAGCCATGAGAACGAATTTGCACATAGGTGGTCCATTATATTTGCAAATGCGCAGTTTATTGAAGGTTATAAATGACTCAAGGACCACTACTTAGCATGAATTATTTGCATTTATGACTTATGCATTGACCCGACAAACTGATTTTTCCCGAAAGAAAACAGAGCCTTTCTATAGAAAAATCTGTACGCAGCTGTAACGTCTGGTAGTTTGAAAAAAGAAATAGCGAACTTTTGTACTTGGATATAATACATTTTACTATTCCACAGAGTTACAACTTTTATTAATACTAATATTATAGTACTTATTACATGAATTTTCGAATTTAAAAAATCTATACTATAATGCATCAATGCTGTCACTTGTATTCACCATATATTGTTAGATGACGTAAACCTTTTGTTTTTAATACCTATGAATAAAATTTCTTTATTGGAAGCTAAATATTAGGTATTATATATCACAATGAACTATAAAATGTTTGCTTTGCGAATAGTAAGTGTTGGACCGGAAACACTTTAACGAGCTATTGTTTTGAAAAAGGAATTTCCTGTTAAAATATACTTGCTTGTATTATTTACAAATTAAGTACTCGATGACAGAAATAAGATTAAAAATTACAGTTACAAATCAAAAGAAAGTATAAAAGTACTTAATTTACTCCTATAATAGTAGTAGCAGGTAATTTTGAAAAAATAACGCTGATAATTAGTAGAGCACAAAAAATACCCCTATATATATATATATATATATATATAATAAGTTAAAGAGGATATATTTATCCATTACACACAAATATACAGTATTTATAATAACTTACGTAATAATCATTAAAAAAATATAAATAGAAAAATTAGTATCGCAATACAGCGATTAAAACCAGCGTTAAAGGTACCACAGGGACCAAACTTTTTAAATTAGTTTTAATTTACAATTTATAAATTTTTAATTATTATGATTATAAGGAAAATATTATCTATTTGTAAATACATAATAGTTAGATTAAAGCAAATTCAATTATTTACAATCTTCACCTACAAAATAGTAATTAATATAAATCTAAAATAAACTATATTACTATTTGAACACTTAATGTAAGCCTCAGACAAAGTCTAACTTGCTGATTTAATATATAACTTTACTGTTTGTGACATTTTGAATAATCACCAATCGCAAGTTAGGCGGTAGGGGGTCAGTGGTAATATATTTTGTCTAGCGAGTTACCTACCACGTTACCACGTAATTTAAAAGCGATTCCAATTTAAATAAGGTAACACATGCAATTGTGCGCTGAGATAATGCAGGCTACTCGATTGTGAGAAAGTTGCATGGATCTGGTCTGCCTTGCGATTCTGTAACTCACACAGCGGTTTTCGCATCGGCGGTCGCTCTCAAATCAGTCGTGAAGCAGTAATTTTATGATTTGGCATTCTGATAAACAATAAACTACAAGCTCCCACCTTTTGCGAAAACCACTGTGTGAGTTCGAAAAGTGAGTTACAGAATCGCAAGGCTGATCTAGTTAGCGCTGTGCCTTCTTAAGTTCACATGTTATTTTGACACACGTCTATACTTTCTATTAAGTATATTCATAAGTATCTGATTTTCATCCTTAAAAATAAAATTAAATAAAAATGGCAAATGCACTATCAGCGCAACTATGAAAATCGAATGTTTTTTGTCGTAAATCGCGCTAGTCAATTGATATCACTATTGAAGATATGCGGCTAACTTGACGGTTGTCAACATCTTTTATATAATTTCCTTAGATAAAATAATTTAAGGTAACTTACAAAAGTAATTATTTTTTAGGCAAAGATGATATAGCGAAACTTAAAACCTGTGAGGTTGATGGCCAAACGTATCTAGAAGGCCAAGTCTTCGAGCCAAAGAACACAAGGAAAAGTTGTATATGCACACCGCAGTGGAACGGTTCCACTGATAACCCAGACTACTGTAGAGAAATCAACTGTGGTCTCGAGATCCACTACCAAGACAGGATATTTGACAACTGCGCGCCAGTTTTCGCTGGCAACATGAAGGGTTGTCCCATCGCTTTTCAATGTCGTAAGTATTATGTATCCTTGTACATCTATTTTATTTATTAATAAGTTCTAAAACAATACTTATACTTGACAACAAGAAAATATGACACAAATTTTACACACACATCAATTCTATTAAAACATTACACTATTTTAAAAAAATGCTAATCAATATTAAAAACTAAAAAGTCTGCACCGTTTCATAATACGCATCTGTCTTTTTTCATCACAGCGTGAATACAATAAGACAGAAAGAGACGAGGATAGTTAAAAGTTCAATTAGAATTTACTACGTCAAACATTTGTAGAAAGTCTCTTATAAGTTATAGAATTCATTTCGATTAGCCATTGATATACAAAAAACCCAAGATGCACAGTCTCGAATAAAAGTAACGCTCGAAAGTGTCCCGAAACACTATTTCTGTCCATAACAGTATATGTTACAAGCATATATTATTGCAAAATCAACCTTACGCGAATTGCTTAAAGTTGTTATTACAACGCAGTGTATACGTACTTAAAGCAATAAAATTTTACGACCGACCGTGGTCGGTAGGACAAGGTATTGAGTGGAGTCGAACATGACTTTTTTATTTACAACTATTTAACATAATTTTAAATTTATCCGACTTTTCGGGTGCTTTACAGCGTGAGTGGTCACGGTGACTGAAGACAAAAGGTGTTGGATGTTAAATAGTTGTAAATTTATAATAATACATAACATTAATCCGGTTAAAAAGGTTTTTTCCTTAAATTAAAAAAAAATGTTAAATTGGCTACCTCCTGACCCACACTTTATATAGCGTAAATATATTTGTCAAAAGCTACACACAAAAAAGTTCAAGAGTACATAAATTTATTTATAAAAAAAAACAAAAATAAATAACATCGACTCCACTTATAGACGCGAGAATATTTGAAATGAGCGCACAATTTAGAATGTTGCGCTCATTTTTTGAGGACGTTTTTTAGACGTTGATTGTGCATCTTGGGTTTTTGTATATCAATGCGATTAGCCTTACCTTCATCAACATTAAAATATGCAGACAATTATTGTTTTGCGATTTAAAATGTAAATTTGTCAATATAGTGTCAATTCATACATTTTGTATAACGTATTTTACGTTTATAACTGTTATACTACTGTTGGTAAAAAGCTTAAACAGAGTAAAATGTATTTATGTTAAGCGATTTATCGATTAACGCAACTAGTTAAAATATAAGAGCAGTGGTGGCGTAGTGGCTTAAGCGACTTTCAACTGAGGTCGCGTGTTTGAATCACGATTCTTCTATGTCCGCAACTAACACTATCATAAAGACAAATATCGTGAGGAAAGCTGCTTAACTTAGAACCGATGACGATGTTCGACGTCGGTTTAACTTAATGCGTCAGCACAGAAGGCTACTTGTGGTAATAAATACAAAAAATAAATAGTGTTGTAGCGGACTGAATTGTTATTATTTTGAAAAATATATTAAATTAAATTTACTACCGTGATTTCGTCATCTGTTAATAATGTCATAGTTTAAATAAAGAAAATTCACGTTGTTTATTTTGATTTAGTAGCTTTTAAACTTATTAGTCGCTTAGTATTAGATATTAGTAGCGTAATACACCACATATAGTACTAACAAGTAACATTTAGTGGTGTTCTCTTTTTGGTAACTGTCTAAACTTGTTATAAACGGTTGAAAAGGAATATTTAGTGACCCAGAATTTAATTTATGAATATTATTTAAGAAAATTTATTATGTTGGTTGGTTCATTTCAAAGCGTTTTCACTCGCAAATTCAATTCCCAAAATCAGCAGTCCTAGCACGAAATATGATTTTTGTAAGAAAAGCTTTGAAAACTCAAACAGTAATACTTAAACAACTGAATGGAATATTGACACAGGAAGTAATTTTTTTTATATATTTTCAGCATCATTACAGTCCAAAGTGGTCCGAGGTTTAAATCTTCGCAGCATCAGCGAACAGTGTACGTTCGGCAACATGACGTTATCCGTCGGTGACGAAGTTACCGTTGACGAGAAGTGCACCACTTGCGCCTGTGACGTACCACCTTTTGTCTCTTGTTCTAGGAAATCCAGCTGTTAATGACCATTTATTTTATATAAAGACTAGCTATTATGTATAGTGGTTCTACGAATTTGACTGAGGCTCTGGGATCAATCCTCAGCGAAAAATAATTGTCGGATTAATATTAGGTTACAATTTTCTTTGTCAGTCTGAAGCCAATAGCTTTTAGTATCACGAGATTCCAGGTTGTGATATCAGCGCTACTACGGACATTGTGAAAACTATATCGGAATTAAAAACAAAAGGAACAACAGACCTGGGGGCGGGAAATTGAGTTTAGTTTCTACCACACCATTGTGAATTTATTAAGTTTTTAATTAAGACGCATGTAATAAGGAACAAAATTTTTCCGTCTATTTGCTTATGAAAAAAAACAATAAAATACTAGTTCTTAAGGATTTTCGGAGGCGATTAGAAAGTTTAGCGCCTCTTGTGTGCCCAATGCACAAACTGAACAATCAAAAACATCTCTATCTTTCATTTATTTATCTTAATAGTTCGTAATATAGTTAGTAATTTAAATAGACGATACTAAAATAAAAATTATTATTTATATTTTAAAATGATTTATTATTCGTTTGATTAAAAACATAAAAATTCCTAATTTTAACACCTCTCTCTCTAGTACATATATCACTTTCTTATTAGATTAATTCATATTACCCTTACATTTTATATTAAGCTTAGAACTAATTAAATAATGACGTATTTACATTATGTATACAGCCTTATATTTGGACCTTTGTAATTTAAACTAATGTTGTTACAATTTTTACAATAACAAAAGTATTAAAACTTAAAATATCTATAATAGGATACACGTTTACTAGTAAATGCTCTTGGTATAATTTTATTTATTTCAAAATAAAAAAATATTCTTAATACCTATTCTTCATAAAAAATATTAATTTTATCTACTTATTAAAATTATAGAGTTAAAAGTGATTTAAGATAATTTCTATCGTTATAAAATAATTAGGAATTATGGTAACCATGTAACAAACATATTATCAATCTTTAAAATCACTATTTCAATCTTCATTGAAATTCAGTTACAAATGCTTTTATATATAATATACCTACGAACAGTAAAAAACCACCTCCAACAAAAGCTAATAATGTTTTCTGTGATAGATGTATAATATGTTACAACACCTGTATATACTCGCCGAGACATCAGATCGGCCTTGTGCGTTTTTATTGTTCTTCCTTCTCGCTATCTATATATCGAGATTGGCCCGAGTCATAGGTTCTAGTTAACGATAGGGTCTCCCGAGAGGTCGATACTCTCGAAGAGTATATACAGCCGCCATAAGCTACAGAGATTTATGTGAAGCACGCTAGTCCCAGCTCAACCCTGAACATTTGGTTATTTCTACCAACATCCCTGACCGCGATGTCCAATAGTGGGAGGCGATTGGGTTTATCTGTTTCATATTGCACTATTGTCTTCGCCCAGTCTTGATGCTTGTGCTGAAAATATAAATGTATAGTAAGCAAGATCAAGTAAACTATGGAATGTCATCAAGCCACAGGTGGTCTTTGAATGTCTAACAGGGATGTCGAGAAGTTTGATGAAGGATTACTACCGACCAGATGCGACGTTTACAAACTTAAAATAAAAATACTGCAACTAACATTTGGTTAAATATGTTCAAGTTTTGGGTTCTTAAGTAGATCGGATCAGCTTCTATACATTTCGAATATATTGGTATTTAACGCTTCTGTTTTTATGTTGTAACCTCGAGCTACTTTATACCCCATAAACATTAACGTAAATTGGGAAAGTTTCTTTGAGGTAAAATTTGTTTTACCATAGATTTAATAAAGAGTAATAAAACACAACAAAGGCCAACCTATGGAATGAAAAATCTTTTTTGTGAATTAAAAGTATTTGAGGTAATGTTGGCTGGATAAAATACAGTTTCCTAAAGAGTTCAAAGTAAAATGCTTACCTGACATTCATCCAACAAAGCCTTATACCGTAGACGATTATTTGCCTTAGGCAGTATTTCAGCGTCGTTGTAGGCGAGGAGTTTAACACCATGTCTGTAGTTCTTAGAGGCCGGATCATAATATCCTATGGTATTCCGGCAATGTAAAGTCACATTTTGCACCGCGTGTAACGATAGAAGTTGCAAGTAAGTCAGTTGGCTGTTGTCTGCTTTGTAGGAAATCTGAAAATAAGTTTTCCAGTAGTAGCACAAATTATAAGACGTTGTTATTCATATTTTCATCATCATCATGTGCATGCATAAAGATTTAAATTTCATATAGAATGTACTTATTTTACTTTAAGAGCTCTAGAACCGAGTTTTTGGTTTATAGTCTAATTCTGTTTTATTGATAATATAATTTTTATTTCCAGGAGTTTTTTTATATTGTATCACCGAGATATAAAGCGTGCTTACAGTGAATCCGTCTTCCATCTCGCTTAGCCAGGCTTCATTCTTTTCATGGTGGGTGATGTCTTTAGATTGCATAGGTTTTGGGAAGACACAACTGGCACCAGTCGTCAAATCACAGTGTACCAGGATGGCGTCATTTGCATCACCACCATTAGGATCGATCCAATATTGACCTAGAAGAATTGTCAAACTTGTTCTATTCACTAAAATACAATTAGTCTCTAGGAAATAACTACATAATATATGTATTATATTTTATTAAAATACAACTTCATTATTTACGCCCAAAGGTAAAGAATGTGAAAAAAACACTCATCAATTACAAGTTACGTAGTGACTATGTACCAATGAATATTTATCTTAAATACCAATGTATTTTAATCGCAATTAGCATTTCCCCGCAAACATCCAGCATAATTTTAGACCCATGTGTCGCCAACTTGTCCGAGTCTGATCACCTTATTTAATAAAGTTTATACGTTGTAAAATCAATTACGCAGAAATCTATCCCTCGCACTCGTACAAAATGTAGGTTTTTAATATTGTATAAAAAAGAGAGACAGAAAGATTTAATCTATGAAAGATATTACCGCTTGTGAACTCCGGATGATGGTACTTAATATCTCCACAGGTCTTAGCTGGGGCTTCCTTAGAACCATCGGGCTTCAAGAATTTGTTCAATGACACTTTCAGGCGTTCATAGGCCTTCATGACAATTTCTTTTCTTTCAGCAAGAGGCATGTCGTCTTTGAAGAACCGAGGTGGTATATTTGGATCATCACCCATAGGGTCTGGTCCTTTGATTGAACCTATCGAAGTTTAATAGTATCTTTACTGGTACATGGAACAATACTTGAAATTGCTGCATTTTATTTTAGTCACAATAATATAATGTAGCCATGTAGGTGTAGCAGTTAGTTAAACGTACCTACATTTCGTCAAATCCCTAAATCTAGCAATAGAACCCAACAGTGCTGCACTATATATTCAACTTTGATTTGCTTTAAAAAAATAAGTAAATAATTGTTTGTGTAAAACTAAGTAAATGTAATCATTTTTTTTATATAACATTTGGTTCTGCACTTCTAGCATTCATCATGTTTCTTTTTTTAGTTTTTCTCTTTAACTAGGGTTGCCTGGAAGAGATCGCTTATTAGCGATAATGCATCCCTTATAATTTTTATGTATTGTGTTATTTGTGTTTCTTTTATTTTTATTGCAACGGAATGTTAATAAATAAATAAATAGTTTCGAAGTAAATAAACATTATTAGCGGTTATCATACTTTTTCTAGTTTTTGGATTATGTTATTTATAAAAGATCAGATACCTTGTTGCAACATTGCAGCAATAGCAGCAGCATCATATGCAAGCCCTTCTCCTGGAGGTCCCGGCGGTCCAGGTGGACCCGCTGGACCCGGGCTACCGTGTTTTCCCGATTCTCCTTGAGGGCCACGAGCCCCTGACGGTCCGAGGCCTCCTTGTAGACCAGGGCTCCCATCACGGCCGGGGGGACCTACAATTATTTAGTTTGTTAAAATCATGTGAATAAAGATTTTTACTTGTAGAAACTAAATAATATATATTTATATTATTATGTTAAATCCATCATATCATAAGTAATATAGTCATTAGTCATTATGATTATCAAGTACACAAATGAGTTTTGTTAATTTTAGTTTGAGTTTTAGTACAACGATTTACGTGATATCGTTGAGCCCTTTTTATATAAGAATTTTGTTACTTCGTACCACAAACTTAAATATATAATTAAATTGTGAATTACCTCTTGATCCAATATCACCATCCTTTCCTGGAGGGCCCATAGGTCCGGGTAATCCTCTATCGCCAGATCTACCTGGCGCACCAACAATCCCTGGTAACCCAGGTATTCCCGCATGGCCTTTAGCCCCGACTGCACCTGCTTCCCCTCTTTCACCTTTGGCTCCGTCTAGGCCAGGAATGCCTTGTTTTCCTGCAGGGCCTTGAGGTCCTTCAACTCCAGAAGGTCCTGACTCTCCTCTTGGACCTCTTTCTCCACTCGGACCAGGTGGGCCACCTGGGCCAGGAGGTCCCTAAATTTTAACGTAAAGAAATTATCTTAGAAAGATTATTGTGTATTATTGTTTATTACTAAGAGAACGTGAGAAGAATATCAATTACTTTTAGGTAATATCACATAATAACTAACCTGTAATCCAGGTGCACCAGAAGAACCGGGTTGGCCAGATTGTCCCATTGGACCCTTGTCTCCCATACGCCCAGGTATACCAGGCTGGCCCATTTTACCAGGACGGCCCTCAGGCCCAGGCTCACCCATGGGTCCAGGTGACCCTTGCGGCCCAGGACTGCCTACAGGTCCAGGAGCGCCGTCATTTCCAGATTTTCCCGGAGAACCACTTTCACCCTATTTAAGTATTTCATAAGTTTTTATTACTTATAAACCTTTCTCAATGTTACTTTATTAAAAAAAATCATTACATGCACAAGAGCATGTTTTAGTCGCCTTTTATCAGACTCTTTATTGTGGTGAACGCATTAAATATGTATTTATGTTTTTAAAATTTCTCTGCAATACACGTCAAAGTTGCGCCTGAGAAGAAAACGTTAGCTTTTTGTCAACTATTTAAAATACTGGTATATGAAAACTCTAATTAGAGCACGTCTAATCTTTAACGCGTATGAGTAGTACAGACCTGAACTCCACGTAATCCTTGAGGTCCTGGTGGTCCAGTCAAACCAGGTAATCCAGTTGGACCTCTTTCTCCACTCACACCCGCTGGCCCAACTGGACCCTGCATTCCAGGTTCTCCCTCACTACCTCTTTCACCTTTCACTCCTTCAGGTCCTTGGGGTCCAGTCAGTCCATTAGGCCCTGGAGGACCTGGTCTACCAGAATCCCCAATAGCACCCTTAGCACCAGGAATACCAGGGATTCCAGAAGGACCGGTGCTTCCTTGAGGTCCCTTTAAATTTAATTTAAATGTATTTAATTCCCTTAATCATCAAATAATCCTTACATAAATCGTATTTTGTATGACAATACTTACTGGTGGTCCTAAATCACCAGGTCTGCCAGGAAGTCCAACTCGTCCTATTTCTCCTTTGAGGCCTACTTCACCTCGGGCACCCTTTGAACCTATCGGGCCCGAAGGTCCTCGTAATCCAGCTTCTCCTTGTTTACCTAATAATACACAAGTGTAAATTGATACCCATTTAATAACTATTGACATGGCACGTGACTATGGGAACTTTTATTTTTATATATATATAATATATGATATCAATAGAATCAATACAACGCACCTGGGCTGCCTGGTGATCCTTGTTGACCTTTTGCGCCAGCATAACCTCTATCTCCCTTAAGTCCCGGCATTCCAGTAAGACCCGGAGGTCCATGCAAACCAGGGACACCCTGCATTCCTGGTTGACCTCGTTCACCCGTTGATCCTGGTGCCCCCGCTTCACCGGGAACACCAGGAGTTCCTGGTTCTCCTCGTTCAGCTGGTTCACCGGGTGGTCCAGAAGGACCTACAGGTCCTTGGGGCCCTTGCTCTCCTTGGCGCCCTAAAAAAAGGAGAATGTGATTATAAAGATAAATTAATTAAAGCATAACCAAATATAGTTAGAACACAAAAATACTGCTAACCAGGAGGCCCCTCGTTGCCTTGTGGGCCAAGAGATCCTCGTTCTCCTTTTTCTCCTGAAAACCCAGTCAACCCTCTAGGTCCCGGAAGCCCCATAGGACCCATTGGGCCTTGATGACCTTTGGTACCTCGAGGTCCTTCAAGCCCCTATAAAAAAATTTTATTAAGAATCCATAGTAATAAGAATTTAATATTTTATAAAGATGTATAAGATTTTTTTTCTATTCGGCCATTTTATTTAGCAAATTTTCCAACACTTTCAACTTACAGGAAGCCCATCAGTACCCTGTGCTCCACTTTCCCCTTTCTCTCCTGGTACTCCTGGTGCTCCTGGCTGGCCTCGATCACCCGAAAAGCCTCGTTCCCCACGAGGACCAACTTGACCCGTAGGACCAGGAGGGCCGGCAACTCCAGGTTCTCCTTCTTTACCAGGAGTACCTGGTAATCCAGCAGTTCCTGGCATGCCCTGTCAATCATTAAAATGCATTATAATTAATCGTATGATAAACTTTAAATTGTTTATTTTGCTTGAATGCATGTTTAATAAAATACTAACAGGAAAGCCTGTAGGGCCTGTTGGTCCCGCTGACCCTCGTTCACCAGATGGACCTATTAGACCCGGAGGACCTTGAACACCAGGACTTCCATCTCGTCCGAAATCTCCCTTTGGACCTTGTGGTCCTGGCTGGCCAACTTCACCGTCTTTGCCAGGTTCACCCTAAAAGGAATAGCAGAATTCATAAATTTGTTAAGTGTCAAATATTTTTAATACACGATGTGCTTTTAAAAATTCACCTGCAATCCTCTTTCTCCTGGACTTCCCATTAAGCCAGGAGCTCCTTGTAATCCCTGGGGCCCTTGTTCACCAGGTCGTCCATCAGCTCCGGGTATACCTCTTTCTCCTGATGCTCCTGATTTTCCAGTTATTCCAGGTCTTCCCATCATTCCTCTCTGCCCTGGAAGTCCTTGTGGACCTGCTCGTCCTGCGTCACCGGCACTACCTTTAAGCCCAGGTAATCCAACATTTCCACGCTCTCCTGGTTGTCCTTTTAAACCCATGGGGCCATCTGCTCCAGGTAATCCTCGCATACCCAGTAGCCCTCTTTCTCCTTGAGGCCCAGTATTACCTGCTGGTCCCCTTAAACCTCTTTTTCCTCGTTTTCCTTCAGGCCCAACCACACCAGGTAGACCTCGAGGACCAGGGGTTCCAGATTCACCTCTTATACCCATTTCTCCTTTAAGACCTCTTTCACCAGGTTGTCCCTTTAAAAATAAAGTACCAAGATGTTATTTAAACTATACGAATATATTAATTTTCCTTATTACTAGGTATGTAGGACTTACTAGAATAAGATACATTCATAGATGGTCATACAGAAAATATCATATTTATTAAAATTAAAACAAACTTTAATTGAAACTCACTGGCATCCCTTTTGAGCCTGGAATTCCGGGGTCACCAGCTACACCAGGGGTGCCTCTTGGTCCCTGAAATCCTTGAGGACCAGCAGATCCAGCTTGTCCCTGAATTCCCTTCTCACCAGGAATACCATCTCTACCAGCAAGCCCTGGTGGTCCAGCCTCACCGGATTGACCCGGTCTACCCGGTTCACCTCTAGGACCTTGAATACCTTGACTACCTTTGGGCCCTTGCACGCCTATTTCTCCCTTTAACCCAGGCGAGCCCGGAAATCCTGGAGAACCCGGTTTACCAACGTTTCCCTGAAAATGTGAATAAAATGTCACTGTTAAATATAATTCTAAGATTTAGGAGCAAATTCAAATTAAATTACAGCAGCTATATGTTACTGTGATTAAGAATAATGTACAATAATTATTAGAAATAAAAAATATATAATATTTGGGGTGTATTATAAAAATCACATCTTAATATATAAAGAACATGGTAACAGTCGTATAAAAATGGAAAGTGTACTTTTCGTTCTACAGAAAAATGCATGTACAACACAAACACAATACTTACCATTAAACCAGGTGTTCCTGGGGCGCCATCAACTCCTCTTATTCCAGGCGTACCAGATGGTCCTTCACGGCCACGCTCTCCTCGTGGACCAACTGGACCCTAAAAAGACATATTTTTCAGATGCAGTATTTAATAACAATTACAAAAATGCTGGCTACTGCGATAACACAGATTATATTTCAGAACGTATCAAAGACATACCACTGGCCCAGCTGGCCCCATCTGTCCAGATAACCCCGTTGGACCCTTTTCACCGGGTAACCCTTGGTCTCCTTTTGCGCCATCCTTCCCGTCAAATCCCCTATGACCCTTCAATCCTTGAATACCGGGAACACCAGGGGACCCTCTGGATCCAGTTTGACCAGCAGCCCCTGGTGGGCCTGGCTCACCATCTTCTCCAGGAAAGCCCTGCATAATTTTACGACAAGAATATTTTATTATTTTTCCAATTAACTTGAACACAAAGACATGGAAACATGATTCTTACATCCTTTCCCGGTACGCCGATCGGTCCCCGTTCTCCAGGCGGCCCTAGGGGTCCAGGTGATCCGGGTTCACCTGGTTCTCCACGGGGACCTTGAAAGCCCTGCGGCCCGGGCGGACCTTGGGGACCTAGATAATATTGAAAATAATTACAATTTTATTTATTTTTTGCTTTTAATGAGTCCTTCACAGTAAAAGTAAAATACAAACACAATAAGCACGATTAAAGGACAACTTGAGTTTTACAAAACACAATAAATTCAAGCTAAGGTACCTGGTATTCCTCTAATTCCTGGTGCACCAACAGACGCTTGCATGTAATGGTAAGGGTCGAAGGCTGGACCTTTGTCTCCTCCTGCTGTCGCTGCTAACTGGGCAAGATAGGCGTTAACCTGAAATATAATAAATCTCGAATGATGTTGCTAGGAGTATTAATTATGAATTGTGTATATATTTACACTTCTTTGAGTATCTAAATAATATATACCAGGTATACCTGCTTGCCGATTAATTGTTAGTGTTTATTTTTAGTGTTAATTTATTAGTACTTCACATTTTTATGTACTAGTATAAGTAATTACAGCAATAAAGGCTTTTATTATTTATTATAATTATTATTGACATAATGATACAGATATTTTATTGAAAAATATTTTTTTTTACTTATTCATTAATATATAAAAAGAAATCTATTATAGCTTATTATATATATATATAAGCTAAATAATAATAAAATATAACGATGTATGTATTTGTATAATAATGTAGATTTCAAATGTTTAACTAATGCTGCTTAGTTTTCTTAATGTGTAAACTTACATCTGGCATAGGTCCTACGGGTCCTGGAATTCCTGGCGCCCCGGGTGTACCACCGAATCCAGGTGACCCAGGAGGGCCAGGCGGGCCCTCATCGCCTGGAACTCCTTGTACCCCACGTACTGTAACGGCTGGTTGAGGTGAAGTAAATACTGGCGGGCGACTAGTGCTTGGAGCTGGAAATAAAAATTGAGAATTGAACAGTAACTTAAATTATTAAAAAAATCTAAGCTAATTTAAAATAAAATAACACACTTTATAATTAAGTATGTATGTATCTCATTTGATAAGTAATTCTAAGATTGATAAAAAATAAAACGTTTGATAAAAAAATGTTTTCATTAAACAAATCTATTGTCCTAGTATCCCTACTTATTGTTATTTACTAAAGCGTTACTTAAATACAAACTATATAACTCATCAAATATATGTACGTATAAACTGTATATCGTAGAATTTTGAATGCATAGGTATTTAAACAATTGAAACTTTTGGATAGGTACACAAATAAACATGTAAAACCGAAAACAACAACTCTTTGTAATTGACTCAAAGTAGAGAAAAACTAAAGACATAGACAAACACTTACCAGATAGACAAGCAGGCAACACTGAACAGTTAACCCTCCCACTAAAACACTGACAAAGAGTACAGTTGTCTCGTTTCCAGGTGTCTCCATCAGACCATGATCTTCCCACGTCAAGGCATTTCACTGGCGGAACTGAAAAATAAATATTATCTAAAACATGTGAACATAAAGAATGTGGTGTCACAGTTATCTGTGCTGAGATTTAGAAATGTGACGAGTGTGAATAGCGTATAAAATATTTACCGTTTTACATAAAGTAAATTACTTCAAAGTTCAAAAGTGACCAAAGTACTGCTAATTGAATTTAAAAATATTGAGAAATTCGCTGAAATTCTAATTAATTGCGCAATCAGACGATTTCGATAATCAGGACTAATAATCTATAAATAATGATGCATGTAAAGGAATAAATGATCCTTAAAAATATTTTCTAAAACATCAATTGACAATATGAATGGTTTATAATTATGCGATAACAGATTTTTCACTCTTCGACTTTTATTAAGTGGGTACAGACTTCATATTATTATGAAAAATAATTTGTATGAAAACATGCAAGATATGATAATAAAATCACCTCGGTTAACCTGCTGCTGCGGTCTTCCATACCCACGTTGATCTATGAATGAAATTGTAATGACATTTAAATGGCATTTGTTGAAACAAATGAATGACGATCATGCTTTAAAAATGTGTCTTACTCGTTGTAGAACCCCGAAAATCCCGCTCCGCTATCACCGCTGTAAAACAGTGATAAACATATATTATAATTAGTGACAGTAAGATATATCTTAGTGGTTGGAAAATACAAATATTTTAAGTCTAATCAGTACGTTTGGCGACATTTTGGAGTGGAGGGGCAAAGTTAGTGAATGCACTTTAAGTAGCCAAATACTGCATATCTACTACTGGCAACTTTCGTGCCGAAAGTGATGAATTTTTTTTGATCTTTTAACATCATTCCTAATCGTTAGTAACGGGCCGTATATTTTAGGAAATAATCGATTTCTAGGTTTGGATACTCGCATATTTGATAAAGAACTCGGGCGTTAATCGTACAGAGGAAATGGGAAGTGTTAACTACGTAAATCACAGAAAAATTTACCGTTCTCATCTTCCCCAAAAGGGTTATAATCGTCATAGTTGATTAGATCTGCCTCCTGAGCTTGAGGTGCATCAAAATCGTCCCTTCCATCAGACAACTCCTTACTGACTACTGGAGTCAGCAGAAGAGCCAGGCAAGCTATTATTGCTTGCCACATATTGCCTGTAAATTTGAATTAATAATTAAATTTATTGAAACGTTTAATATTATTTTATTTATTATTTAACAAGTTTTTTTAATATATTACAAATAAAAGGTTCCGAAGATAGTGGCAGCGTTCCCCCTTTGAATAGCTAAAGCTATAGCTTATATAGCTTTTATATTAATTAAATTTATTAATGCACAATTGTTTATGTAAACATCAAGGTTGAAAGTATAAAATATAATTTAATTATTGTTATATTAAGTTGGGTTAGACAAAATTATAAAAGCTTGGAACATCAACTCATTCATCATTCCATTCATATAACATACATTCAACAGATGCAATTCATTGCAAGTATTTGAAATTATCCTACACATAAATAGGGCGTAAGAATCAAGATCACACCGTTCTAAATTACGTTTCTAAAATGATTCTATGAATGTGGCCCAGTAACCTTTCTTCAGATATAAACATATATTTCTATCACGATGACAGCGAATAATTGGCGCCTATTGTAATTAATTTCGAGATGTTGTCACTTAGTTAATAGCCACTTTCACTTATGATTGAACGACCATGAACCGTGTTTTGTTTTTACGAAAAACATATGTTGGCGATTCAATAGTTACTTTATAATACAACATAGGAGCTTATCTTGCGATATAAAAACTTAATTTAATTGAGTCTTCGTATAGAGTATGGGAAAGAAACAACAATATTCAGTCTCTTATCATATCTTACCAGTTCTTCACACGCTTTAAAAACAAAAAACTAATTTCTGCATAATCGCTGTAGTGTAGGATATATTTAAGAGGTCGTGGGTTCGAACCCGGCTATGCGCCAATGGATTTTTCTATTGATTTGTCCAATAAATACGTGTTCATACGGTGGCGGAATATCGTCCGAAACTACATCGTATAAGACCTATCGGTTACGTCTAAGACAGAAGGCTGATCAAGGAAACAGTTACATCATTATTTTTATTTCGTAAGATCAAGGATTATGGCGCTATGTTTGCGCTGGCACTGTATATTTAAAAAAAAACTTTTTCAAAAGTTCCCTTTTCTTTGAACGCCATGTAAAACTTTTATCAAAAAACATCCACAAAATGTGAAAAAAATTTCTTGTAAAATTAACTTGACGTTTTATTTAATCTTCGAAAATCAATTTTTAAACTCGCGATTAGCACGATAAAATAAAGCATTGAAGAATCCAGTACCCATTTCCCAACGACTTAATTTGGATTGCACAGTGTCGGCATGTAAATTTAAAATTTCACATATAATATTTCACATTTTTAACTATTTAACATCAAATAATAATACCTTACCTTATAAAATACAAGGGATGCGGCCCGCCCGCGCCGCGAGGAATAGCAGCCTAGACCACGGGATAGCAAATAAATATGCGTGAACGCATGACCTACGTGTACGCATTCGGGAAGACAGCGCTTGACAACCTTTTATTCCCGCAATTATTCCATTTTGTTTATGGTATATTCATTTTTTCCACATATCTATCATATCTGTGGCTTAGTAGTAAACTCACCAGTGGATAGAGGTTTTAATTGTCGAAACAATAATAGTTTGATCATGTACTTGCCCTACACAATCTTGTAAATGTGTGTGTAAGACATACTTGTCTGTCCCGTGCCATTTGAAATGAACTTTTGTATATAAGAGTCTATTTTCTTGCAAAATTTGAGGAATATGTTCCTATCTGAACTATAATTCCTTATTTTAGTCAAGCCCGCCTTATGTATTCCTGATTGCATGAAAATTGAACCTTTCATGAAAGGTTGACGATCTCTTCCATTCTAAATCTAGGCCGCGAAGTAATGTGTAGCGATACATAGCGATCATAACGCACCAATTCTTGGAGCAAACTTTTTAATTTACGGGTCAACGTGACACGCGCCTCCCTATTAGTGCACATAGACTAATCGTGGCATAGTTACTACCAAGAATTCTTTATATATACTTCATAAAGAACGCAAAGGTGCGTACGAAAATAAGATAGATTTATAGCTTTTATCTAAAACTACAAGCAAAACTTTATAACAATACAAAATAACACCCACTTAGTTACAACAACTTTAAATTTACGTGAATTGAATGTATAAGGAGCAGCTCTGAACACGCTTTTATAAGATATCCCGGAACAACATCGAACTGCCTTACACGTTAGTTTTAATGTATTTTTGTATTTAAGCTGATACGGGGAATTGCTGACCAAGTTTCAATAATTTGTTTGACAATATACATACACAATAATTACATAGACAATATTCCGGAAGAATTTTATGAATAATAGATAGATTAATGATATGAAGTCTCTGTACTTGTTTACTCTATATTAACACATAAGTTCGGCATATTTATTAAGAGAAATGTCTTCGAGTACAGATTTGATTCTCCTTGTTCCATTTGACGCATATTTGCGTACATTATCATGAAGCCATTTAGAGTTCATTTTGCTGAAACATTTAGTACAATAAGTTTTTATTATTTGTTTTAGTCGTGTACTATATTAGTATTATTGTTGTGTGTATGTATTGGTGGTTTAAACGGGCTCTACAAAACGATGATCTAAAAGTTATCAAGTGAAGGAAAAAATTATACCCGCAATTATTCCATTTTCGTTCATGGTATATTCAATTTTTTCTAGAAATAAAAATTGTTATTAAATCGCCACTGAACGTTCCTAAGATTAAAATAGAACCCAACAGATTTTTCTATTGGCCGATTAGAATATCTGAGTATTAGACTCAGTCACGACTTAATTCTAAGTATGCCTCGTATCTCAAAAACCACTGCGAACTTCCAACTTCATGTCTCGACTGCGAATGTTAGGTTCAGATGCAAAAATCGACTGTCGGTAACATAAAGGTAAAGAAAAAAGAAATAATTAACACAGAAGAATTTATGTGACATAGAAAGAAATCTACTTGCCCCATGCCATACGTACGTATTGTTACGAGACTTAATGAATACATAACAAAAAATATTTGTGTGCAAAGTGTGCAAGTTTCATTTGCTTTCCGTGATAAATGGTTTTCATCAATGTCGGAAACTTTTTAATTAGTTTACAACTTGCGGTTTAATGTTAGTACAAAGCTTCATTTTTAAAATACTGTATATAAAGTTAAACACAGTCAGAATTTTTATGAAAATATAATTTTATTTGCACTCATTATGCCGTCTTGGATTGTCTTTTTTTCCTAATCAACGCTGTAACTTTTTTATATTCTTTTGATTTAGTACTTTTTTATGGAATTCGCGAAAGGCGGGGTTACCTCTTCTCCGATAATATTGATAATTATGTCTTAGTTTTTACTTCACAATTATACTGCAATAATATTGCGATTTGAGGCTTTGTCTATAGATTTGTTGCTCCAGGTCACGCCAATAGTCTCCCAATATTAGGCATTATATATTGAGAAAGATTAGTCTGTCTTGTTTCCAGGTTGCACGTACATATCTGATCTGATTTCAGATTAAACCTGTTCACGTATTGAACTAACGCCCCATATACCATAAGGATATATTGGCGGAAAATTGTTAAAGTCTCGTTTCCAAATGTAATAAACAATTAAATTTAGTCTAGGTAGATCCATTCAAAAGATGTCGGGACACCGTTAGTGTCAACATTATAATAAAGTAATGGCGTGTTAGTTAGGAATACTAGAGAACATCAAAACCTATTTAAAAATTCCGTTTTGTAGTCACAAATTGATGTTATCAATGTTGACAAAGTGTTGATTAGTTTCTAGTTGTCCTGTTGATCGACTATGTTACAGTGGTAAAATGGCTCCCAGGGGGCTTATTGAATAACAGTTATAGATAAACTGCAATCAATTTTAACAAGTTGTTTAGTTATGAACTACCTTGTCATAAACAAAATTGTTTGTTTTGCCGAATTCAATATAGGGCAAGAATTTTAGAATAAAATGCATTTTTGTAATAAGGCAAATTTTCGTAATTCGAAACAGAATGAAAATTAAAATATTTATTTATTTACACATTGTTAGTTTTGTCTTTAAACATACACATAAAAAACAGGTTACGTAAATGACCGTACGGGTGGCTTTATCGCTAAAAAGCTATTTATTCCAGGCAATCCTAGGAAGGAAAAAGAAAAAAAGAAAAACCTACTGAGGATAAAGTGCAAGAAGTGCATAACTCAATTAACGAACTATAAAATTACCAGTAAAACTAGAATTATACAATCGGAAACCAAAATCTTTAAAAAAAGAGAAGAGAAATGCTTAAATAGGAGATTCTTAAATGTATTTACAGATTGAGCCCGTCTGATTTTAAGAGGCAAGGAGTTCAAAAGCATGGTACTTTGTACGGTAAGGGACCGGAAGCATTCAGTATCATGGAGTAGGAGTTACATGAATTAGAATGTCACGGGAACGCAAAAAAAACTTAACAAAACTTAATAATTTTCTATATAAAGCATTAGTGGAGCTGACATTAACACAAATAGTTATCATGTCCTTGGTCTGATAGAATCAGTGAAACAATAATTAAGATGATTCCGAACGTTGATTGATATGAGATCATTCATACATACGTATCTCAACTAAATACTAATACTACTAAAACTTTGTAGTTCTTACAGTTCTTGCAGTTTCACCACCAAATTTGAATAAAAATCTTTTTTGGAGTGAAGGTAAAATCATGTTGTTAATTTGTGAAATAAATAAATGTAAAAATTTCGATTAAGGTGGTCGAAATTTTGAAATCTTTATCCATTAGGAGTAGGTATTAAAATTTTATGTAGTAAACTGACTGTTTTCAGAGAATATTATATTATGAGAGACACAATTGTGCTCTCTTTTCAACAATTCTCAGTGCCGGATGGCACTGATTCCTAATAGGACCTGATTAAGGATGCAAAATTGTTGAGTTTATTGTTGTTATATATGAAAAAAAAAATTGATTAAAACCGAAATGTTCAATACAACTTAATAGTATATAACGAGAAGCCGTTTTTGCAATAAATATAATAACACCAACTTATTTATACACCTTATCACGTACTAAGGTGACGGTATTCCCTCCGTACTGGTTGAACAAAAAAGGGGGGGTGTACTTATGTACACGCGTTAGAAGTTACACTTCTTTGGCGTAACAAGATAAAAATCTTTACAAAATTTTTATTCTTCGTTTGAAAAAACTAAAATGTTGACTATAGCTAACTTCAGGGTGTCGGTTTTTTGTGACGGTGTGCGCGTGCATCGTAAAAATTTACTCTCATCATTATAAGATAACTTAAAAAACTGTTTTACGGTATGAAGACCTGTTAGGAGTACCCAACAAACCATCAAATTTTTTATACTAACTACTACATCTGAATAAAATAGGTAAGAAGTACCAACAACAAGAAGGAAGTATATTATATGATTCCATCTCACGCTAACTTAAATCAGCTTGCCACAGGTAAATTTGTACTTCCCTTGGGTAGAATGCCTAGCGAACCCCGAGGGCCCATATTAAGGGCGTGTGAAGGGCTGAGGTGTTTTTAGTGGGTTCGCCATCCTGCTGAATAGCAGAGGGATTTGAGTGTAGACCCAGCCCCACAGTCCCCGCGTCAACCCGCTCCTTGATGCGGGCCTGCGTATGCGCATTTTCACCTAATTAAAAAAAAAAGGTAAATTTGTACATGTAATTGGTTAATAATTTATATTACGGTTTTTATTTAAAAAAATCTACGGATATTTTACTACTATAACAAGTATTTGTAGGTACTTAGTTCTATTTTACTTACACAATTTATTACTTATTTCTGTCTATCTGAAAACCTGAAAAGAGTCTGATCCAATCTGAAAATGGTAAACGATAGGTTTTAAGAAAAACTTAAAACTGAACTGCTTCGCATTTTCATACCATGACATCAAATAGGCTGGGGGTTAGAATTTGAAAAATAATAATAACGAATTGTGAAACGATTGTGCGCTCCGTTCGATAGTGATTGGGCAACAAGATCTCTAGACCAATACGCGTTTAACCGCCACATGATGGCGTCATATTACGTCCATTTCCAATCAAAATCGAAGGCAGTGTTTCTTCAAGCTTTTTCTTGCCCTTTCTTTTCTATTTTGCTTTCCACGTGGCCTCAAATGATCATATTTCGTATTTAATATGTAGGACGATACATATTATACAATTGTCAACGAATTTATTTCCAGAAACAAGGTGTGTCTTTAAATCAATTCACCGTCGAAAAATGAAATCTTTGACACAAGTGAATACAAATAAGTACATATAAGTTAAACAATCGCTAAATATTTACCCGAGTTGAATAGTAAACAGCGCGTGTGCGATATAAAATGTATAATTTGTAATGTTATGAAAAATTCTGTACAATGCGAGAGTTATGTAACCTAACTTTAGTTAATACATATACATTTTTTAGTTAATAATTAGAAGCGTAAACGTAATGTAAGCAATCATCGGACACTAGAAGCTAAAATGAGCCCTTTAGTTTTTACTACACTCATTAATTCGATTCGTTTCCGATAATGTCCAATAACATAAGTGTCACTTAGATTTAAAAACGTTTCAATAAGACATGTTAGTTATTTGTTAATTCAGCGTCGCAACCCCTAATTAATAAATTTTGTTTTAAGCCCATGTTTTAAACAATTAAAGCCACATCCAGCATCAACCAAAGTGTTTCATTTAACATATATTTGAACATACCGACGACTATCGCATAACAACTAGGCGAAAATCAACCGCCACGGAACTTAACTCGAGTTAAAAAGAAAAGTTCAACCTAAATAACCTCATAAAATCCTCGGATAGGATTTTGTGATAAAGCACTTCTCAATAAAAATGCATAAAATGAGTTTTATTCAAATGAAATACATTAATTAATCAATTTTAAAACTACAGTTGTTCCAAAAGGTAATAATCAATATCCCGTTTTTGTTGCCTGCGTATAAACGTTTCGCCAAATCAAAAAAGGAAAAATGAAAAACAAACAAAAATCAAAATAAACAGCCATCTTACAGTACATTAAGCTTGTTTAATTCAAATTAATGAGAAAGATTTGCTAACTTAGATGAAGCCAAAATCAATCTAAAATATTTTTATTATTATTAAGTTTCAATTATTTATAATTTTTATCTAGCTAGCTTCGAATAACCTCATCTACACCTATTTATTCCTCATTCAAAAGTATATATTTGTATTTTTAGTGACTATTCAACAACCTAGGACCACAGAAAACGTTCGTAAAGCGTATTAATAGCATTAAGGCGTATTCCAATTACCATTTATAAGGCAGACAATGATAAAATAAAAATTTATATGACATTGTATTTACTAGACAATAGCATCCCCTTTTACGTTTAGTTTAAGCGCGAAAGCCTTCCTGGGCACTTGTCTCTTGTAAAATAATAAAAAAAATATTCTAATCATGTATGGAATGCTACTTGAAAGTGTTCAGCATTTTATAGTGGTAAGCATAATATAAAGCAATTTACGAAGACTTTATATAATAATGATCAAATTTGTGTTTACAACTAAAATAATAATATGTATTGGACTACAAACTATGAAACTAAACTAAACTAGTCGTACCGAGATGATCGACTATTTTGATTAAAATTTGGTACAAAATTGTATTTTTTTTGGACACGCACTTCTTAAATATACGCCTACAATAAATATTAAGTTACAAATTCATCCGAATTGTCATTTGTAGTCGGTTTTATTTTTATATAAACTACTTTAATTCACAATTCAATTATAATATGTAGAATAACATTTATACAAATACACACTAGTTTAAAAAAATATTGCTCTTCTATTTTAAGTTGGATTAAGAATTACAGGTTGGCGATAATCACAGCTGTCTTCAAGTCATTTAAAATATTATTTGATTTCCAATTGTGGTACTTACGTTATAAGGTATTTGTGTATGATATAATGAACTATGTACTAGTAAATTTAATTGAGATTTGTTTCGACGTCATTTAATAACTGTGATACAATATAAAAACGATTATTCTTGAAACCACAATGCCGCTTATGTACGAAAAAAATACAACACACAGTTTGAGTTAGTAAAACATATTTTTGGTATTGTACAGAAATAGCGTCAACTTATATACAAAAAAAAAATATCGAGACAAACGTAGAAATTTCTACTGCCGTTAGAAAAGTTATGGTATTCATTATTCTGTCAAAATACACTATACATTTCCTAAACCCTTTGAACTCATGGTCAAGCTATATATATATAAACATTTCGATAAAAATAGGATAGACCATTAACACATCCTATTTAAGTTTTGAACGGCCGTTAAGCCAAATTGAACAACAAGCAATAACTAATTCGCATTCGTGCATAACAGGTGACATTAGACATTGAAGGTCAATGTTTGGGATGTCACGTACGGTTGCTTAATGAAAATAAACTGACCTAGTGTACATCATAAAACCTTTAATGCAATATATAATTCGTATGAATTGTGTAACTATTTATTATTATTATGATAAATAAAGCTGGATTTACCACGATTCATCGGTTTTAGTCCAAAGAACCCAAAATATAACGGACAATACGATCCGTTTCTGCATTAAATGCAGAATGCATTTCTTTTACAGTCCAGTATCGGTCCAGGCCCGGTCGGTTTAAAATTGATAAAATTTATTGTTAATTTTATCAATTTTAAAACGGGTAATAAGCCCTGTCCTAATAGTGAGAACTTTGCTGGATTGGTATGCTTTCGTTCTGCATGCAGTAAATACCAGATTTTCCCGAAAATGCCGAGCGAGTACAGGTACCCGTAAAGGCGAGTTAGGACCGGAGCCAACTCAGCATAATTGGGAGGATGCCATTAGGCCCGCTCTACTTATGAATGTCCAAAGAAGATAGAATTTTGCGGATAGCACGTTGCCGGAATATAATTTCAGGCATCAAAGTATCACACCGAAATAATGTCGGTGGTGACTTTAGTAATGTGTAGTTATAATAATACTGACTGTAGAGAGATTATTAAGTATATAAAACCTAAAAAAACGAGACAAATATTTTCATAATGTGATCTTTAATATTGTCTACAAATGCATTGCAGCAAGAATGCGGAGAGGAAATATGGGAGACTATTCTTCAAGAAGCGGGAGCCAAGAATACAGTTTTCATGACTCGTCAGGTAAGTCTAGTTAAAGCCCGAATTTAATTCGTAAACAATGTAGTTAATATATTTTTAAATCAATTCTTATTTGACTTTACAGCAATACCCAGATGCTCTTATGTTGCGTTTGGCTTGTGCTCTGTCACGATTGCTAAATAAAGATCCAAACAGCCCAACAATTTGCACACCGGTAACTCCGCCACCAAGAAAATCATCTTTAAAATCCAAACCAGCTTGGAGAAGTGCCTCAGTCCATGCAGATAACAGAAGTCAAACCTTCAAATGCCCCTTCTCTGCTGTAAGCGCTCTGACAGCAGTAACAAAGCAAGAAATAGAGGCTTATAACTCCTCAGAAGAAATAAAGTCAACCACACAGAGTACAATCTCTACAGAGAAAATTTGTGAACTTGAAGAACTTGATGCCACAACAACTCACCAAAATAGAGATAGGAGAAGTCTTGGTGTACATTTGGAAAGGTTAAGAAGTGATGATACAAAATCAGTGACGGTTACAGAACTGCCTAAAGATTTAGAGCCCACATCACCAATTTCAGAAGCTTCGAAATTCAGCTCACTGCCAAAAACCTCGTCTTCACCTTCAGATTCTAGAAAAGGTTCTCTAAAACCTAGGAAAGTGAGCATCACTGTCGCTCTCGATGTGTACAAGCGTCGGGGTTCCGGAAACACTAGTAGACAAAGACTGAACAGTCTCAGTTTATTAAGTGCAGACAGACTGAATGTTTTAAAAGAGAAGTTTAGTACGCCTGATAAAATAATGCACTTCTTTGGAAGATGTTTTGTAAAGTTCTTCTCAAATTTTGGGTAAGTGGCATGGGTTTAAATCATTTCCTTGCTTATTTATCAACAGAACCTTTTTAAAGGTATTTAACACAAATAAACCACTTTAATGGAGACCTATACCGAAGAAAAAGTATAAAGTTACTTTGAGTACTTATTGTATATTTAACTAAATTGTACTCATTCAATACAGGTACGACACAATGATTCGAGCAACTGGGCGTTACTTCTGTACTTTTCTTCAATCAGTTGACAGCATCCATCAGCGTATGAGGTTCACCTTTCCCCAAATGAAATCGCCAAGAATGCAGCTTACCAGAGCCCATATTCATGGAGCTGAACTGGTCTACAGTAGTGCTAGAACTGGATACACACATTATCTTATGGGTAAGTCAATTTTTTGGAGAAAATATTATCTTGGTTTCACACGAGTAGCTATTTAATCAAACTTCAGTATACAAATAATCGTCTATTTATTACATTATTATATAACCTGAGGTATCTAAAGCCTGTCAGCCAAAGCCTTCCTCTTATTTTTCATTAAAGTAGTCGCATCGTTTCAACTGAAGTACTCTTTCGCCTCTTTCTGCAAAACTGCGGTTACGCTGTAATAAAATGGGACGGATTAGTTATTTCGTTAATGACAACTGCAAGTGTATTACATATAATCAACTATTACTATCCTGGTTATATAATTTCCGATATGGCCACGCATAACTTAGAGTAGTCTAAAATGTCTATAACGTTAGTATAAAAATACGCAAAAGGTTTATAATTTGACCTGAAATTACCTCCTTCTCAGTCCCAGCTGTTACATTTACTTTTCATCAGAGGTTTACTACGTATAATATGACATACCATCCTTTCTGTATAGATTTACAAAGGAACACTCAATAAATTGCTAACCTTTTGATTTAAGCAAGAGGCATATCTTTGCTTGTGTTTCAGCGTAACATCTTAAATGACGAAAGTTGACTTAATTATCGACATATTAATTTGTCTCTCTACCGAAGCTCATTCAAAGTAGTTTAGTTACTAAGCCCGCAAATAATTTATTAAGGATCAGATGGGTAGTAGAGAATAGATACATCTTACATTTAAATTTTTTAATCCTCAGGTCAGCTATATGAAATTGCTGAAGATATATTCTCTTTGAAATTGAAAGTGACCATCGTAAAGGAGGATTTTATGGAGGGAAACAACCATTACGTTGCTGTTTTACGACTTGAGTTTGATAATAGTGATTATGTAAGTTTATACGTGGAAAAGATATACTAATATTTTATCCTCCTATTTCGCCTCGCTTACAAAACTAGTGTAAACATTTGTCTTTTTTTATTCTATTATTAAATCTTGTCATGTGGATGTACTAGTTGCAGCTCCTTATAAACTAAAAAAAAATGGGTGATAAAAAGATTGAGAGTGGTTTCTTGCCAGCTTTTCTCATTCGTTCTACGCCCTTTGAGAAGTTTTTAGAATGATTTAATTTTTTATTGATATATTATGTTATCTAATGATATCACCACTACTACAGATATTAATTTGTACTAAATTCACGAATGATATTTAACAAATAGGTGCAGTCATTAATGGCAAAGAAATCACTACCTTGTCCTTTACCTGCCGTACCAGCCACTCTTCTGACCCAGCTGTTTCCATTTGGGGTGCTTCTAGACAGAAAAATGAAAATACTTGTTGCGGGTGATAAGGTAATAGAGCAAAGGTTTTTATTTCTATTGAAACTAGAATAGACTAGATACATAGACAATAAACTATAATTCAAGTTAACTGCCATTATAAACGCTTGAGGCGTAGGTATAGGTATTGATTGGCATTACACGGCAGAAAAACCTAACTTTCTTACAACAAAATGGACGCATGAATACGCCATGAACGCAAAAGTTAGTTGATGAGTTTGTAACTGTCACTAGTAGAATATATCAATAATGATGATATATTTAGATACCAACTAAATAAATATGTGTTTTACAGAGTCGACAAATAATCGCATTTTAGAAATATATACTTTGAGTAGGTATACTTCTTAGTATCCAGAAACTAGATTTAGTGCGAACTATCATGTATGTTAAAAATTTAAAATCATTTGTGATGACGAGTTATAGTACTAAGTCTGTCCAGTGATGGAGAACTTAAAAAAAACACACGTTTTTATACAATTTATATTAATCCTCGTACTCAAACTAAAAACGAGACTAAATGTAAACTCAAAGCGGGGCTATAACTATAAACCCCAAGATAGAAATAAGAGCTCCGTTTAAAAAGTACAAACAGCTCCAATTACAATATATGAAAAGAAAATAGGAAAGAATAGAAAACAATATTTGCAGTATTAGAAGGTTATATATATAGAAAAATAAATATATAGAAAGAAAAGTTAAGGAATATAATCATTTAAACAAATTATTAGCTAATTAATAAATATGTTAATGACCTAATAACAGATATTTTATAGCTACTTGAAAGTATGTATGTTTAATTCATATTTGAATTTACCTCTCAAACCAAGGTTACAATAAAAACGTTTAAGTGGTTTTAGTAAATATTTAGGTTTTAAGTTGTAGTTGATCCTAAGGGGAATTTTGTAGGAGTTGGCATCACTAGTTTCTCAATCTCACCCTTAGATGCGATGGTTGAGAACCAAATTTTTGCAAACCTAACAAATCCCATTAAAATTAAAAAATATCAATAATTTTACATTATAATTAAAACAAAATTAATAATCGTCTCGATTTGGTCTTTTTAATAGTCGCAAATACTTGTGTTACAAAAATATTAATATTGAAATCGGTCGGTCGGTATTGCTGAAATTACTACATATAGACTTTCTGGAGTAATTTATTCATTAAAGTATCTGGGAATATGTTATTTAAAACTCAAATTAATAAACATAATACCAGTTACTTCTATTAAATTTGATAATACTTTACATAGAACTCTAGAATCTCAATCAAACTAACACATTTTAACTTGGACTATAAATTTACAGCTGATAGAAGCCTGGGGAGGTCCTTACAAACGAATATATAAAACACAAGTCAGCGAAATCCTAAGACTTAGGAAGCCAAAGATATCGTTCACATGGGATAAGGTAAGTGTTTTTTATTCGCTTATACGTTACAGGTTTTATTGTTATATATTACTAGCCGTTTCGCGCCCGCTTTGCTGGACGAATTAAAATAAATTTTATGTTTCATTATTTTATTTTTTTTCATATTTTTATTATTCTTCTTTTTAACTTCCCGCTAAGAAAATTGAAATATTTCGAAAATCGAGTTTTTAACAGATGTTGACGTTTAGAGGTTCTAGGAAGCCTCCCCGAATGTTTCCGCGGTGAAGTCCGTATGGATACATTTTCATAAAAGTAAAACAGCAATAAAAAAATGAAGGAACGTTGGAATTTAATAAATAAATAGCCATAAACCATCATATTTCGCCATCGAATGGTGGTAGTTTCATGTCGATACGATCAGGGTGGGTTTAGGCGTGAAAGAGCCTCAAAAACGAAGACCATTTTCTTTTATAATATAGATTATAAATTTAGTCCAACTTAAGGCATAAAGATATTTTTATTGCTACTATTTAATACAGTAATTTTTAGCTAATAAGAAGTTTAGTTTAGGTAGTACATTTAACGATCATTTTATTTGCGCCGAACCGCAGTAGCTCCAGCGGCTAGGCGCGTGATTAGAGGGTTTCAAGTAAAGGCTTGCACCCCGGCTGTGCACTTTTGATTTTTCTTTTAATGTAAGCAAGTAATGTTTTCTCATACTATGAAGGAAAACATTTTTAATGAAAATGCAAATTAATTACCTAATACTATAAATAAATTACGGTTTTTATTTCATTAATTCCGTATTCATATGCAATATAAAGCTATGCCTAAATTGCAATGATAAAAACTTAAACTTATTTATATATAAATGAAGTGCTGTTCATTTGTCTCGCTAAAACTCGAGAATCATCCACTAAATAACGATTTTTTGGAATTCGTTTTAATTGAGTAAAATAAAGAAATATATGTTGAAGCCCGTCATTTTAAAGCTAAAAATTTTAATTCACATTGAATCAAGTCACTGTCATATAATAGTTTAAAAAATTACGTATTTTAGGTGGTGTGCATGCAAAACATGATGTTTGAATTGGAACTAGTGCGGTGGCGGTCACTGAACCTCACAGATTCGAGGCGAGGCTCGCAGGGTACTCGCTCTATTCTTCTGAAGGGACCTATCTATTTTCTTGAAGAAATTGATGCTCTAGTTTTTCTGTGTAGCCCCATGTAAGTATTTTGTCTAAATCCGAGTAACGAAAACTACTATATATATGTATATAATCGAGTTTTGTTATAATAGTATCTAAGTAAAAAAAAATACTCGCATCTATGCCTGAATAAAGTGCGTAGACTCCCAGAGAAATAATCATAAACTCCGGTTTGAAGGCCCTATCAAAATATTACCGAAAGAAACAATAAAAATGTGTTTCTTTCGGTAAACACAAATTTCGGTATACTTTTTTACAAATATAGGGACATGTCTAATTTTCATTAAATGATGCCTTTTATGTCAATCCAAATAATTTGAAGCGCAAAGTAAATTTGCTTTTATTACCCTTGCTATTAAACTTCGTTTTGCAGATTCAACAACCTGGACGAACTCCGATTAGCTGGCTTATACGTAGCTGATATGAATGGCCATGGCCTCTCCAAAGAAATGCTTCTTCAAGGCTGGCAACACCTTTCTCGATTGGAGTTATTATTTGAAAAAGCAGAAAACCGCTCTTTAACATTGGAAAAGTCCTGGAAACTTAGAGATGAATGGAAGAAGAAAGGTGATCAACTGCTCTACTCGATGATACCAAAGACAGTCGCCTATCAACTGAGAGCTGGAAAAATGCCGGAGGCTGAGGTAATTAAGACTTATCGTGTATGTAAATCACTAGTTGATTATTTCCATATAATTATTTATAGTGAAAGAGCTTTAGTATGATGCAGTAAAAATACTCTTTTGCGACAACTTTTATTCTAGGAGTAAACTTTTAACACATTGTACAATACTAACCATTTTTAGTAGGAAACTAACTATTTATATACAAACACAAACTAAAGCAAACGTGCTTTATTAATTGTAGGTAAAAATAATCCCGTGACATTAACAACCATATAATACTTATTCCATTTTATTTTAGCACTTCGACTGCGTCTCAGTTATGTTCTGTGGATTTCAAATTAGACAGACTGGTACTAGAGAGGATGTGATGGCTACCGTGGGATATATGAACAGTGTTTATTCTAGAATTGACCGACTTCTCGATTCGCATCAAGTTTATAAGGTGTAATTTTGAACTAATTGTTTAGAATTGTAAAATTATTTTAAAAAAGACTTCAAAGTTAAATACGAGAGGCAGACTTAGAGCAGAGTCTCTTCTCTGACTGGTTGGTTATATCTTAACCACACTTGCTGAAAATTAAGCGAAACATTGCAACATTTTTACTATCTTATGTAGAAAATATGTACCAGTAACTATGCGATACACGTTATCATTAAATGAATTAATAGTTTCTTTTTTACCGTAGACCACTTACGATTAGAAAAATCCTGTACTTCCAAAGAATGCTATCAAGGCAACGTACAACTTAAAAATTAAATCTTATATAGGTACTAAAAGTTTCATTCTTTGTTGACAGGTGGAGACAGTAGGTACCGTGTATATGGTCGTAGCAGGAGCTCCGGAGAGACGGCGAAGACTAGCCCATGCCGAGTGCGTCGCTAGCGCCGCTCTGGCTGTGTCTCGAGCTTTGCCTATGCTCACTATTGGTATTTGAATCCGACATAATAACAAATTGCTATTAATACAGATACCTGGACGACTTTTCTATCTAAGTTTATTTCTATAGCTAATTATTTTCTGTTTCATCAGCGTATGTAGTAAGCTATACTCAAATCGGTTCAATAGTTTCTGAATGTATATTTTACCAACAAACATACACAAAATCATTGAATACTAGTGTATTGTCAAATGTGTCCTGTATATGAATCATTAGACACTAAATAATATATTTTATATTGTTTGTTTTGTCTTTTATTAGGAATCCATTCCGGACCTTGTCAAGCAGGTGTATTGGGTCATAAGCAGCCCCGATATTGCCTCGTTGGGGACACAGTTAACACAGCTTCTCGAATGCAGACAACAAGCGAAGTAAGAGCAAGAAGTATTTACTTCAAATGGCCATATGACATGTTTGAAAGATATTAAATTTTCCATCTAAACAAAACACATTCAAATTCAAAGTATTTAGCTGAAATTGAATTTGTGCAAAAACTAATTGAGCTTGGTCAAAAACAACACCATAAATATATTTATTATACATGGCTGTTGTCTATTGCATTTGACCATATTAAATATATTGGATTGATAAGTACTACATCGTATGGCTTGTAGTGGTTTTGGTAGTATGTTTCCGCCTTTAATCTCCTTATTATAATAATTAGACAACTTTATTGATGAATATTCATTGATTTCATTCTAATTGAATCGTTTTGATACCCTTTCACACTAAAATTTTCTACTTATATTTTGTTTCTCGATTCATCGTTTTGTTTTTCGATTTCCATGTTAAATACGCGTTCCGATTCCTTTTGAAATGCTAACTTTTAAATACAGCCAGGGCGTATACAAATATCAGCTCAAACAGCGGGAGAGTTACCTTCAGGCAAGTTCAGACTTCGACAAAGAGGATTGATAAAAGTAAAGGTAGGTTTATGGTCATACTACATGCATTTATCTATAGATTAAATATAAGATTTTCCCAGGCGCAATATTTTTTTATATCCAAGTACGATGTCTTTACCATGCTTAATCATTATCGAATTGGTCGAAAAAGTGCATTTGGTTTGTAAACAAATTTTTGGAAAGGAATTTTAACTTTGACGGTTAGAATTTTTTAAAATACTCCTGACGATACAAAATCTGCATCAAAACGTTTAGTTTACGTTATGTTTTTGTGTTAGTGACTTAATTATGATGCATCAATTGTATCGTGAATTTTATAAGTCAATTATATTGGAGTTTATGGCCTGGTATATAGACCTTTAGGCTAATCAATTATATTGTATTAAATGTGACCACATGTGATTCAACCTAGGCTATATTATATTTTACAGGGTAAAGGACAAATGGAAACTTTCTGGCTAGAAGGGGAAATAGAAGAAGATGAGCAAGATGAAGCTTTACAACTATTTTCAAAGCTATGCGAAGAGAATGAGTAAATTTAGCGAAATCATATCGCATCGGTAATTAATGTTTTACATATAAGTTGTGTTACTAAATACGCTGTCGATATTTTAAGTATTAAAAAATTATCCCGTGCCGAGCGTAAAATATCATGACACTCTCCACAGTGTCTATTGTTACAACACGTCATGGCTGTCTAATAGTTTCTTGTCTAGGGCCCTGCGTTTTTTTTATTTTGTGCCATAACGAATGTCAGCGTAGCGAATAATCATAGTAGTCTGTGTGGAAACTGGAAAGCCTATGAGAACTGAGAAGTAGCGTCTGGACTCTGGTCTATTAAATCTTTTAAAATACGTCATTTCATTTATTCACAAATTATATACTTTTTTATAATATTTTCATATTAAGATTCAAGATGATGGCTGTCGAATCACAGTGTTATCAACATACCAAAAACGGTACTTCTATTGCACTGTTACGACCTAGTAGTGAGTTAGTAGCCACGATGGTTTAATTCCGCACTACATTGTATAACACTTATAATGTAATGACACCTTATTTTATTACGAAAAAGTATAATTTGGCAACTTTCAATCAATCAATTTGTTTAAGGATAATCTGGTTCAGCGCATTCAAATTCTATAAGTGTCTGGTTGAGTCACAACTCACAAGTGTTATTACACAAGGAAATATAATTTATATTTAAATAATTTCTCCTCACTGGCAATTACTCTTGATCGTTAAAATACCACAAACCAAAGATAAGAAAATAACCGTATCGAATCCGTATCGTAAGCGTAAATAGTTTTATAAGCTGTTGTAAAAAATATTGTATGGGTAATCTTCAATAACCTAGATTATTTAATGAATGACATATTCTTGTTTGAATTTAAGGTAATGTAATTTCTCAAGGTCACCCAGAAATATTTTCTTGCCGCCATTTTAACTAAAATACTAGTGGACTTTTTCTATACAAATGCCTTCATAACGTGACACGCTATTAAGGGTTCAATTGTTTAACTGTATTGGTTTAAAACATTACCAGTAACCATTATGTAATAATAAAAAGTAATGCATGATATATATAACCTTGATTAAATGATATTTACTAGTTTTTTGTATGACTACAACAAAAACACAGCACCTATTCAAGTTTACTTAAATTTTTAAGATCTTTAATTATTAAATTCGTTTGCAAACCGAATTGTCTTTCACACATTTAGTTGCAGAAATATAAAACTATTGGCATAATTAAATGGAGGACAACTACCTGTGCTTAGGTACCTAAATCTAATACGATTTTTAGCGCTAACTTAGACCTAATATAAGTCTCTGATCTGGCTTGATTACCTTACATCTATCAAAGGTATTAATAGATAATATAAGTAGAATAAAAAACATATATTACTAAATAGTTTAATATCAACATGCGAATAAATTCGAATATATTTTGTAGGATTCCTTAATATCTCGTATCACTACAACAAAGTCATCTACGATCTTAAATTAAGTAGTTTTAAACTAATAAAAAAAAAGTTATTTGAATATGAAACGATTTATAAAATATTTTTCCTTTTTATACCTATAGACTGCCAAGTTAAAGTTATTAAAAGAGAACGCGTATACATTAAATTGCCCACATACAAAAAGATAAATCTTTTGTCCTTATCTCTCTCGTGTTACTTCGAAATAAATTAAACGTGATAAAAATCTTTAACCGTTTGAGATTCTTAGTATGTTAACTAAACATGCTGAAAAAAACGTTGGTGTTCTAAACACTGTTTCTTTGCTTTGATATTGTTTCACATACAAAATGTTTATTTAATATGATTGCTTTATCACGCTATATCCATTCTAACACTATATTTATCTATTCTGTAAATAATAACATCAGTATTTACGTAGTCGGTCCCAAAGTTCTGTCAAAAATGGGAATTATTTTAAAAACAAAAGTATTGTTCCGTTTTTTTTAGGGGTTTTTTCCATTTTTTTTTCATTTTTTTAAGGAAAAAAAAAAACCTAAAAATTTTTTAAAAACCCCCCCCCCTTTTTTTTACCCCCCCCCCGCGCCCCGCCCCCCCCCCCCCCCCCCCCCCCCCCCCCCCTTTTTTTTTTTTTTCTTTTTTTTTTTTTTTTTTTTTTTTTTTTCCCCCTTTTTTTTTTTTTTTTTTTCCCCCCCCCCCCCCCCCCCCCCCCTTTTTTTTTTTTTTTTTTTTTTGGGGGGGGGGGGGGGGGGGGGGGCCCCCCCCCCCCCTCTCCTCCTCTTTTTTTTTTTTTTCCCCCCCCCCCCTTCGGGGGGGGTTGTTTTTGGGGGGGGCGGGGGGGCGGCCCCCCCCCGCCCCGGCCCCCCCCCCCGGGGGGGGGGCCTTTTTTTTCCCCCGCCGCCCCCCCCCCCCCCCCCCCCCCCCCCCCCCCCCCCCCCCCCCCCCCCCCCCCCCCCCCCCCCCCCCCCCCCCCCCCCCCCCCCCCCCCCCCCCCCCCCCCCCCCCCCCGCCTCCTCCCCCCCCCCCCCCCCCCCTTTCCCCTCCCCCCCCCCCCCCCCCCCCCCCCCCCCCCCCCCCCCTTTTTTTTTTTTTTTTTTTTTTTTTTTTTTCTTTTTTTTTTCCCCCCCTTTTTCCCCCCCCTCCTTTTTCCCCCCCCCCCCCCCCCCCCCCCCCCCCCCCCCCCCCCCCCCCCCCCCCCCCCCCCCCCTCCCCCCCCCCCCCCCCCCCCTCCCCCCCCCCCCCCCCCCCCCCCCCCCCCCCCCCCCCCCTCCCCCCCCCCCCCCCCCCCCCCCCCCCCCCCCCCCCCCCCCCCCCCCCCCCCCCCCCCCCCCCCCCCCCCCCCCCCCCCCCCCCCCCCCCCCCCCCCCCTTCCCCCCCCCCCCCCCCCCCCCCCCCCCCCCCCCCCCCCCCCCCCCCCCCCCCCCCCCCCCCCCCCCCCCCCCCCCCCCCCCCCCCCCCCCCCCCCCCCCCCCCCTTTTTTTTTTTTTTTTCCCCCCCCCCCCCCCCCCCCCCCCCCCCCCCCCCCCCCCCCCCCCCCCCCCCCCCCCCCCCCCCCCCCCCCCCCCCCCCCCCCCCCCCCTTTTTTTTTTTTTTTTTTTTTCCCCCCCCCCCCCCCCCCCCCCAAAAAAAAAAAAAATATCCCCCCCCCCCCCCCCCCCCCCCTTAAACCCCCCCCCCTCGTTCTTTTCCCCCCCCCCCCCCCCCCCCCCCTTATAAGCGCGGGAAAGGAACTAAAACTCACCTTTATATTCAAATATGGAATATATTGACCATAAACAAAAATTTGAGCAGAAAATGATCAAAACCATTTTCACTATTTCCTTTTCAAAAAACAACAACAATTTTTTATTTTCGGTCGCGTTCCCTCTTAACCAAACATACAATAACCAAAACTTTCGTGTTTCCTATATTATATAAACAAGTGATGTAACGGGAATAAGATTAATGTATATACATAATAAATAAGAACAAATAGACTTAATTACATCTTACATCTATAAGTGTGTCATTTATTTTTTATTATCCAAATAATGAACATAAAGTGCAATATTGAGCTTTAAACATTACTCTGTACATTGTATATTCTAAATACATAGTTTTATTTTATCTTTATTAGGCAAAATATTTATCCACAAACTCATCAAACGAGATTTCATATAGGGAATAAAGAACACACTGGAGTTTCTTCAAAGACAACCAAAATTTTATTTTATTCAACACGCTGAGGCCGGCTATTTTATCTTTCAAGTTGTTCAAGGTTGTCTTTTGTCATTAACATAGCCAAATTATTTTGAAGGTAAACATACCAAACTCACTGATATAACGAATAACAGTACTACATAATCGTAACTATAAATAAATATTCAGAAGTGGACCCACGACAACCTACGCAATAGTACATAAGTTTTTTTTAAATATCACGTTCTATATTTGATTGTCACAGGGTTTTTAAGAAGATAGTGGGCTGCTTTTATAAAATATAGCACATACTCATAAAAACTTATTGAGCATAAATTGTAAGAACAGTAGCTCATTTACTTTTTATGAACAATGACTATTTCAGTGATAATACTATTAAAACAATATAACAACAACGTTCCTGGAAGTATTTACTGTAGCAATTATTTCCAAATCAATGTGCCATATCACAACAGTAATATATAATAATTAGTAATACACCAGTGGTAAGTGATGAGTTAAGGTAAATTCTTCAACCGTAAACATTACATTCAAACGTCACCATTATTCGTCAAATTTAATAAAAGTGGCCACGTGACCAATTGTTTGCCATATTTTAACCAAACTTTTAAATCTGCTTGGACACTTTAAACGATGTTACTTTTATATAGCATTGTTATTCGTAATTTATTATTTTCTATACCTTATACTACAAGAATATAATATGAGATATATAATTTGTAACTTACGTGCTTACTTGGCACTAAAATACTCTAGGACGGTTACAGAACAATGCAGAATTCAACATTTCAATACTAAATTGTCTGCATGGAAATTTATGTAAATCATTATTATATACAAGCAACTATTTTGGTATGTGACGAATATATTTTTGTTTCACTTTATTACACAATACCATTATCTTTTTCTAATTATAATCATATTGCATATACGATTTTTATAATACTGTCTTAGCTATGTTGTCAAATATGAATAATATTTATCTGACATTAAAAAGCTTAGTCATAAAGTCAAGAGAAATTAAGGGCATAATATACTTGCCGTATATAAATTTTAATTTAATCATAAGTTAATTATAATATGTTTATAAAAGTGAGAAAATCAGGAGAATCATGTGCTTTAGTTCAATAGTACTTTCTATGTGGTGTAACAACAGCTATAGATTAAGGAATAAAAAAAATATAATTGTATAAAGTATATTTGTATAAAAGAAATTATATTTAGTTGATCAGTTTCATTTGTGTTAAACGGACCCTCAAAATACATTATAAATTATTTGGTGAATGAGTTTGGATACAACTCAAAATTCGAGCCTAGCTTCGAGCACTCCAAAAACTGACTTTGGAGTATTTCGATATAAAATGCGTAAACTTAACAACAGGTTTAAATTTAATATGAAATCAACAAACTAAGCTAAGGCACTGTGATTGTAACATAATAAAAATCTATACAAAGTGTAAAAAATCAAAAATTGTGCTCTTAAATAATAACAATCAAAACATTGGTCCTCTACACCCAAACAAATTCCGGCAAGATTGAACGAAAGATACCTATACACTACGGAAGGTACGAGCGTATTGGCTTGCTGGCGCTTAGAACCCAACTTTACACTTGGGATTATTCACACGAGTGCACAATTGTAAACAAGATTTTTTTACAATTGTGCACACGTGTGTCGATTCCTATAGCGATTGTCTCAATAAACATGTCTGGATTAGCAATTGTGTTGAATTATAATGTGAATATTGCTTGGATTTCAGTTATACCTACACCAAGGTTATGGTTCTAAGCAAATAGCAACATTACGAACGTAGCCCAATAGACATTTCCAGTATCCGAATAAGTACTTCAATAAATATAAAGATAAGTAAAGTTCAGTCTTCCTACAAGTCTTACGACTCAAGAAACTGGGAATTAAAAATATTTCCAATATATAATAATACAGTAACTATCACAAGTGGTTATTTAACTTATTGCGAGCTTAACACTAAAGGAATGTGATGTAAGCCGTTCAGCCTGAATGGCCACTTCGAGGGCGTACAGTTTTGATTTCACTCCTCGTTTTCTGGCAATTGTGTTGTGTCTTAAGGCCGCTTTATAATCCTACCGAGACTATTTCTTGAACAACGCTGTCACTTCCTCTATTGTTCGGTTCTTCGTCTCAGGTAATTTGAAGTATGTAAACACATAGAACAATATCAACAGCACAGTAAACGGTACAAATACATAGTTGCCTAATAGCTCAGACATGGGAATGAAAGTCAAACCGACTACGAAGTTCGCTAACCAATTAACTAAAGCCCCTACACTAACCGCAGCACTACGACCACCCTGACCAAACAATTCTGACAGTATCATCCAAGGAATGGAACTAGGACCAACACCAAAGAACGCGACGTACATTAGGGTAAATATAACAGCAAAAATACTCATTGTTTTGTTGTTTTCGTATGTAAAGAATGCTATAGTCATAAGCACAGAGAAGACTGCCATACCGCCCAGACCACCCAACTGCAAAGTTCTTCTTCCAAGACGATCCATTAAGGGTATTGAAACCAAAGCCATGATAAACAACATGCTACCAACCCCAATAGATGCCAAACGGGCATCTCCTTCAGACAAGCCAGTTTTGATAAATATCGTTGTAGAGAAATACAAAACTGCATTGATTCCACCTAACTGTTGCGATAAGTGCATCACAATACCAATGATCAAAGGCGTCCTCAAAGACTCAATACGCAACAAATCACCAATTGTAAACTTTTGCTCCTGTTTCATTGCGTGATCTTCGTCATTCATATCTTTTATTTCATCATCAATTTCATCGGTTCCTCTAATCTTGGCAAGAACACTCCTTGCTTGTTCCTCATCTCGCTGAGATAGCAATAGATATCGCGGGGTTTCTGGTGCAAACGGTAACATAATAAACTGAACGGCCGAGGGTATGATAGCCAGTCCAAGAAGCCACGGCCAACCTTCATCGCTGCCTAGAATAACATCAATACCAAGAACTTGTCCTCCAACCATGCCAAACGCGACGGCCAACTGGTTAACAGTTCCAAAAGCCCCACGTAAACGTACTGGAGCCATTTCTGATACATACGTCGGTGAAGCCGTTGTAGCAAATCCACAATTTATACCAATAAAAAATCTGCCTATAATGAGCATGGCCAGCGACGTGGACGTCTTACTTAATGCCATTAGGAGCGCTCCTACTACACCAAACGCAGCATTGATGAGTAAAGCAAACTTCCTGCCACGTTTATCAGCCACCCAACTAGCTAATGGGCATCCAATCATACCTCCGACGGCGAATATACTAACGATGACACTGAATATGGTTCCAGAGTTGACATCATAATTTTCATTGATGAAGTTCTCTATAAATTTCCGTGGGGCATTGATGACACCGGTGTTAAAGCCAAATTGTAGCATGCCAAGTACAGCCGCACAGACGGCGTAGAGCAGCGGCCTAGTCGCACCTCCCGACATTTTGGCAGGAGATAAGTCTGAAATGAAAGAATATAGATTAAAATGACTACTACTGTAAGTGATAATGTCAATATTGACAGGGATTAAGCTGCGATAAAGCGT